TTTACGTCCTGTCAAAAGAATATCGTTTAAGGAGTGACCGGAACTGGTTTTGCTACTGGCGTCAAACACTGTCCTTAAATTGGTCGTGCTAGAGTCCTTCAGTACCCCATGATGAGGTAGGAAGTAGTGTGGGTGTATGTCTTCAACAAAATCTAGTTTTGTCATATGGCCGAGAGTTTGATATTCAGACATGAACGTCTTATACAAGTGTGAAAAATGGGGTTGAGCTTTAAATTTCTGCTCAATAGACAACAAGCGCTTTTCAGCAATGGGCCTAGATTGGCCTAGAATGGAGGGGTCCGTCTTGAACGGAAGTCGCACAACATAACGACCTGATTGATCACGAGAGTGTGATTTTTTATAGTATTCATCACAAAGAAGCTCTTCCTGTGACTTAACCTGGAAGTGAGGGGGTTCCTCCTGTTGCCAAAAACGTTGCAGGGAAGAGTGTAGTGAATTATCACTAACAGAGAGAAGAGAGATCGCAAAACCTGACACGGGTTCCGAGTTAGTTGCACAGGGAGCTTTACCCATCAGAATAAAGCCAAGATGAGTACCTATCACATGAGGCATGTGCGTGCCGAGGGAGTAACTTTCATGAGTCCAGAGGAGGGGTAGCAGAGAACTACCTATAAGCACGTCAATGCCACCAGGCAAGTGAAAAGTAGGATCAGCTAGAACATAGGGCTTGATTTTTGTTAGCACTTCCGGTGATATAGGGGAGCGAGGTAAGTCGACGGAAATCTTATCAAGAATATGGAATTGATGGTCAGTGGCTATTACTCGACCTGAGAGAGTTTCAAGATTCAAGTAAGTTGACCCTTTAGTACAGGAAGCCATTTGAGAAAGACCAGATATTTTGAGTTGAGAAGACTGGCGTTTTATATTCAGGAGATTCGCAGCGCGTTCTGAGAGCAAATCACACATACTGCCAGTATCTAGTAGAGCACGAAACACATGAGAGATACCCTGAGGGGAAGTCAACTTGACCAAGGCGGTGCCGAGTAATACAGTATAATTACCCGAAGTCGTACATGAGTTATTTTGGGCAGAATAATTGCTTACATCCGCGACAGTGGCGGAGATAGAGGCTTGTGAATTAACATCACCAGTCTGAGTGTGAGATGGACCTGAAGTGGTCGGGGAAGTTCTTTGACCTTGAGGTCGAAAAGACATCTGAGAGGTTTGATTATTATCACCAAGGTGTAAGAGAGAGTGGTGTCGCTGTTTACATGTGCGACAAGTGAACTGAGAGCGGCATTCTTTGGAGCTATGTTCACCCAAGCAAGAAAAACAACGATTATGTTTTTTAACAATGGCGTGTCGCTCTCGAGGAGATTTATTTTGAAATACGTCACAAGTGTAAACTTTGTGATCATTTTTGTTACAAACAAAACATTTGTTATAGACAGGACTATTTTTAGTCTGAGAGCTATGAGAGGGGGGAGCATTAGATCTCGAAGTAGCTACCATGGCTAGGCCTACGTCAGACCGGAAATGCACCTTTTTTGGTATGGTTTTGTGAGGTGAAGGTTGAACGCTTCTGTGGGCCGATGACATGTTATGTATGTTAGCATCTTCTGTCTGCGAACATTCTTGGTTAAGAAATTTTATTATTTCACCAATTTCTGGTAATGAATGAGTAACTGGATCTTCGGTTTGACTGGAACGGAACGATTCAAGTTTTTTACGTAGTTCCTGGTCCATTTTACGCAAAAGGAGTGCGGACAATAGGGGGTTGTTGTCACTAACGTCACAATTTAATGCCTTAAGAGCTTGTGTGTGTTCCGTAAACAGGTTTACAAATTGGCGCAAACCTTTGAGTGAAGTTGCCGTAATGTTTGGCAGGTCCAACAATTGGTTAAGATGCAATGATTGCAATCTTCGATTGTTGTGATATCTGTCACGTAACAATTCATAGGCGACTAGATAATTAGGAGCGGTGAGATTTAAACTCCTTATTAAATTGAGAGGCTCCCCATTTAAGACAGAGAGTAAGTACTGGAATTTCATAACAGAGGATAATGAAGCATTACGGTGGATTGCAGTGTCAAAAAGATTGATAAAACTTGTCCACGTTAATGGATCGCCAGAGAATTTTTGTAAGTCCAGTTTAGGTAATCGTACTTGTGAGCTTGGATGAGTTTCTGAAACAGAAAACGATTCACTGAACGCGGAAGGGGTTTTTGGTGGTTCTGAGGGAACCAGAGTTTCAATCGTAGCTTGAATGTGAGAGAACATGTCTTCAATAGCATCTTGATCATTGGAAAGAGTCTTATCATCGATCCCTTCATCTTCCAGAACGAAGGCACGTTGAAGGTTATTTTCAAATTCACTGCGTTTCTTTTTTATTTCCAACGCGTAAGCGGATAATTTCTTAAGTTGTAATGGTGTTAGAGGGTCGATTTGAGTTGATAATTCATCTACGGTAGCCTTAAGTTTTTCAAAACGTGATTTAATCAGCGCCGTAGAACGGGTGTAGATTGCGGACTTAAAATCAGATGCTTTAGGAGGCATTGTGAAGTGTTCACTTGAAAGTATTCACACGAAAATGGAAGTTGTGGGTACACAAAAGGCTTGTAGCTAGGCCTATGAATGGTATTAGCTTAACAATGTAGTAATTAATTGTCCGCTGAATAATATAGAGATAAAATATTATAAATATCTAAAACATATATCCACCTACTTTGTAGCTTAATTGAGGCAAATAGTGAAAAACACTAAGTTATCAACACGTTAAATAGCAATAAAATATTTTTAAATGAGTGTGGCAGGTTTAATTCGATTTTCAAACTATAAATCAACAATTGAGCTTAGTTGAAAGTATTCAAGTACGGTAATAATAATGCACAATAAAACAAGAGATATGATAGAACAAATGAATGAGTCACATGAAAGTTCACCGTTATTTACAAAAATAATAAATGGATGTAAATAAGTTTAATGAGAGTAGGCCTCATTAATGAAACAGTGTAGAATAATCCTTAGTAAACAAGAATTGCAACATAAAGAGTAAGTTATTACCCTAATAAATGAGAAAGGAACATAAAATTATAACCATCAATGAAATATGAATCACAATACAAATACGCTAGCTAACAGTTTTGTTTATACTGCAACACTAGTAATAAGAACCAGTAAAAACGGTTATTTTGAACTATTTATTAAAATGTTAATTGACAAGATAAAATTACCTTAAATATAATATCGCACGTTTGTCAACCAAAATTACAGAGATGAACTAATTTAACTTTACTTCATTTAAAATCAAAATTCAGAAAGCATAAACAATGTTAAATAACAATGACAAATTATTGTTTATTTAGTACGATATTCAAAAGAGCAATATTGATTCAAAGAATAATAGTAAATACCTAATAATAACCTAATAGTTGGTTATTAATAATATCAATCAACCTTATTACACAATACACCTTAAATGAGAAAATGTAAGAACAACAACAAACACTGTACAGTGAGTGACAGTTGAGATATGCGTCTGCTACTAGTGTCGGCCGTCTGCACGCGACTAAATCCCGCAACTAAAACTAAATCCCGTTTTCGGGATAAAAAAGCCAAGTAGGGAAAAATTGTCTACTACTAGAGAGAACAGCAAATTGTACATGATTGTGACCTGCGCAGACGCGCGAGTGGAGAGAGATTGCTAAGCCACGCCCACGAACGGAACGAACGCGAGCCGATATTTTACCAATATGGCGAAAATTGAAAATTGCAGATCGCTAAAAATATGGTTGATGATGAAAATTGGCTGAAATTAATTACCACAGGACTTTAGACAATGAATCCGGCTCGAAGGACCAAATGTTGGGGGCGTAATGGGTGAAAATGAAAATAATTAATAACTCGAAGGACCAGAACTAATTAATAGTTCAAGAGAAAAATAATTAAATTAGAGAAAATGGCGAATCTGCAATTTGAAGGGCACTGAGGTCCCGAGATGGAATAAAATGTCTTGGGAGGGGCAAATGAGATTAGTTTTAGAGTCTAATTAAAACACACACAAAACTTTAAGGTTGTACCTTGAGTCCAATTATCCAAAGGTGGAGAGTATGGCAGCGGCGTCGTCTATGGTGGAGCGATGGCGGATGGCGGAGTCCTTAGACCGAGTGCTTCTGTTTTGTAGAATTTTGGAGAACGCAACGCACCCAAGTTCATAATCACAAAGAGCTCACTAATACGCGGAAGTCGCGGTGAAAACGTACGGAAAGTCTAGAAGTAATACACGGACGCGCACACACTGTCTTGAGGTTTGAAGAGTCTGAAAGCACTAGATCACAATTTAAGTAATTTAATCACAAACAAAAGGGGGAAATTAAAATGTATATATAGTTAAATGTACTATAGAGGAGAGGGAGGCCAGATATAATTAATCTATAGCCTAAAAATACGTTTAAGAGAGGTAAAATGGGCAATTAATGTCCCGAGATACGAGAAACGGAATACACCGTGAGTTATGGACGCCGACCGTGGACAGACAGACGCCGATCGCCGGCTTCACACTTTGAAAAATGCAATTGCGGTTTAGAGGGGTCTAGGAATTCGATGGCCAATAGGAAATGCGATTGAAGCAAACACGGCGTCAGGTGATTCATGGGTATGTAGTACAGGAAAATAGGCCTTACTGTGGCGGGAAATTCGAGCAGGCTTAGCAATCTCATTTGAATATTGAAAGCGGGAGTCTATTTACAATAAATTGGTACTGAGACTAAATAATATTACAATAAATGTGGTGATTTATATACACATTAGCATGATTAATTAACCAGTGACTTAATTAACATAATGATTAATTTCTAAATACTCTAAAAATATGAATACCGAACAGATACATTATAGAAACTAAATGGTACGATTAAAAATCTTAATGCTGCAACTGCAACTGCTAGTGAATGAATGCAACTTTAGGTCATAAGATGTTTGTAGCCTATATTTTGTGAGCAACAATATATTTATGAATAACAAAAACAATCTTTTTTCAGATTGTGTCGAACAGATTTGCAGGTGTCAGCAAACTGAAAGTCTGCCATTACCTAAACTTGAGGTTAAAAGTAATAAAAATATAGTAAACATAACATGGTTCACAGATGAAGCGTACAATATTTCAAAGTTCATTTTAAGGTATGCAAATGTATTAAATAACTCCAATAAGGTTAAAATGCCTGTTGTCACCACTAGCACTGAATATTTGATAAAATCATTGACTTTTTATGCTGAAGTATTCATCGTATCTATAAGCTATTAGATTAAATATCTCCCTCATAGATTTACAGTGGCGGTTCCAAGGGGGGCTACAGGGTCTAAATACCTCCCATTGGACCCTGGAAATATAAATTTAAACATAGAATTCACCCTAGAAATGTAACATAGTGCTTTTGGATATAGTTCCATGCATTAAAAATGGCCATAGAAAGTCACCAAACTGCTTTAAAAATAAAATTTTCCAGAGGAGTATCCCAGAAACACCCCCCCCCCCCCCCCGCCCCCGGTATCCCTTCCCTTGACATAGTTCTAGAACTACCACTGCAGATTTATCACCCTTATGGATCAGCTAAGTACAATTTTAAGGTTTAAGTTGTCTCTAGAGAGTGTCTTTTTATTTACTATTTTTATTATATAACCACATTTTAAATTAATTCAATCTAACAATGTATTTACAAACTGTTGAATGTCATGTTGTATTATAACCAACAAATTATTACTTTGTCGTCAACAGCTTGACTTCACCAACAAAAAATACACGTCAAACCTCAAACTAATTACTAAACCAGGCTTCTGATATCACAATACTGTAGGTTGAGAAGTCTACTTGCATTAGTAAAAGTCAGCATTGGAAACCGTAGCCAAATTTTTACAAGAAACATATAGTCTTTAGTGCCAGTGTGCCATTATGCACAAGTTCAATTTTTTCTTTTAGTTTTGATACTACAACATCTGAGCAGTTGATCCATGGTTATTTTAGAGATAAAAGTCTACTGTTATAATTAAAGGCAATAAAATAAAAATTAATAAACATTTTTTATCCTGTAATAGAGCTGGGCCTCTGCTGCACCACAGCGGTAACATAGGGGTGTACAACCTGAGCTGGCGGGTTGAGGTGCTGTCAGTCGAAGGATTGACACTCTACCATCTGCAGTACAAGGCTGCAGGCCCGGGCAGATACGCAGCAACTCTGCAAGTTGTAGACTCTCATCAGTGTTTGGGGACTGAACAACAAACTGTGTTTTTAGGTAACCTGTCATGTTTAAACCTACAAGGATAATTATAGTTCGGCCGCTTAGAAAACGACCTCCTCCAGCATTGGTTTAGCATTAGCGCGCAGGTCGTTTTCTAAGCGGCCGAACTATAGCTTAGTGTCCTTGAAACAATGATGATTTTGAATATAACTACGGAACACTTCTATATTGTTATCATTGGCCTTTTTTAAACAGAAGTAGACATCTCATAATGGACCAGCCACAGCCATTTTTCAATTTAAAAAGGTTTTGAATTTTAAGTTTTTTTGTATTTATTTTTATTTGAATGAACCAATCACAGAGTCCGGTACAGTCTAAAATTCTATATTTATATATATTTTTATTATTTATATCTTATATCTGATTTATATCTTGGTGTAGCCAAGTAAATATCTACCTATCTTAAGTCTAATAACTATTGATAGCACTAGACATTCCATCCCAATGTTAATGTTGCAGCTAATTTTAATAAAAAATGGGTATAGTTGAGTTGAGCCAACAACAGATTGCCCTAAAGTGGTAGAGCGCAGGGCCCAAGGGGCGAGCTGTACTAGTGGTAGAGCGCAGGGCTCTGGGGGCTAGCTGTACTAGTGGTAGAGCGCAGGACTCTGGGGGCTAGCTGTACTAGTGGGGAGAGCGCAGGGCCCCGGGGCTAGCTGTACTAGTGGTAGAGTTTAGAGCGCAGGGCCCCAGGGGCAAGCTGTACTAGTGGTAGAGCGCAGGGCCCCGGGGCTAGCTGTACTAGTGGTAGAGCGCGGGGCCCCGGGGCTAGCTGTACTAGTGGTAGAGCGCAGGGCTCTGGGGGCTAGCTGTACTAGTGGTAGAGCGCGGGGCCCCGGGGCTAGCTGTACTAGTGGTAGAGTGCAGGGCTCTGGGGGCTAGCTGTACTAGTGGTAGAGCGCAGGACCCCGAGGTCCCGGGATCAAATCTCGCCAATCACCTATGGATTTAGATTTAATCCATGTAATAATGCCGCATCTCTCTAGGACTAGGTAGCCTGAAGTATTGTGTAAAACAGCTACGGGCTAGAGCATATAGCGTCCTAGGATGTGAAGGTGGAACATAAAAAAATATAAGAATAATGTATATCATAATATTGGCTAACAGTACCACACATAAAACACTGTACTGTAGGTAAGCACTTAAGGTAGGCAGGGTTTTGGATGTGCTATAGTTGACCAGGGTGTTTATTTTTCAGTTAATGACTATAAACAAATTGATGGAGAAGCTTCTACCAAAACCAAAGTAAGTAGTTTAATTTAACTAGATGTAACATTATTAAATCATTACCGCACCCTAAACTTTTGTTTTTCACTCATTTAAAAATCCAGGCATAAATTCTTGAACTGTTTATGAATTGCCTGGACTGGACATATGTCAGAATAATTCTTTTAGTACAAACTTGAAGCACTTGTTTCATGTACAATTTCCAAAATGAATTTATTCAAACCTAAATATGCATATTATGTTGTTAATACCTTCTTATGTAAATATCCCTTGAACTGTATTTTTAACAACTATTTTCGGTGCTAAATCAGTGCAGTTAACTGAGGCTGTACAAGATTTTCATCTTTTGTTGAAGACGGTCAATTTAAAAAACCCATAAAAGTACATAGGTTGAGACAAAAACATATTTTAAAGAAACACAATATGTGAATATTAAAAAGCAGCTGATTTCAACAATTAGAATTTGAGTAGAGACTATATGCCTTGTGAGTGTAGTATACTAAAAAAAAAATGTATCACAGAAAAAAACAATAGTATATTACGTTACTAGTCCTGAAAATAAGTGTTTACCGGATGAGTGTGGTCGTTCCCGTGCGAGACGAAGTCGAGTACGGGATTACCATACGAGTCCGGTACACACATTTTGGACGAGTTACATACGATAGTTTACGCCATACTACTTAATCCGTACAAATCCTTATATATTTCCACCAACTAAAGGACTAATAATCACTAGTCATAACCTCTGAGAGAGGTTATGTTTTTGTTTATAACCACTAATTGCCACGAAAATATAGTATAATCAGCTGATTGGTGTCCGGTAAAACTCATTGCAGAACAGTATTACGCAATGAAACCCCATTTGAATAAGCTGGCGGCAAACAGCTGTTTTCTGGACTAAATCCTTGCGTGGAAAGTTTATCAAAATAATGTAGTGTGGCGTAAAGATATTTTCGCTACACTACAGTGAAATGACCTGTTTTCATGACATGTTCATGACACCTGCGAAAATTCATAATTACATTGTTTACTACGGCAAAAGAATCTTTACTATGCAAAAGTAATGTGTACTATCTTTTTTTGATTTTGCCGACTTAAACTAACAATGATTTGTTATTGTTTTGTCAACTGTTTCAAATTTTAAAGACCAAAACTGTACAACCAAAATAAATAGTAACTTAAAATTGAATAAATAACCTAAAAATGCTGTGAGTTTTGTCACGTTCCTGATTGTAATGACGAAATATCCAATGTCTATTTTAATGAAGAAAATAAATTAGTCTTTGTAGTGTAGCGAAAAGTAACGTTCAAAACACCAGTTAAAGTGGGTCTATACATATTCTCGACCTTTGAAAGTGCCCGAACAAATCTCGCACTTAAGTTGCAAACATGGTCTCAAATATGTAATGCCTTACTTTCTAATCTTGTTATGAAATATACTATATTAAATAATTTTAAACCAGCCGACCTAGTTTAAAATCTGGTACTAGTAGGTACGTAATTAAAGACTAGGCAAAAATGTAAGTAAAATACAATTTAATACTTAATACTTTAATACTTTTCAATGAAATGGCGACCATACAAAGTAGGCATTTTAATTTAATTTGCATAGTTTATAACAAAAAATAGTATAAGTATTAACCTAATGTTTTGCAATAATGCTCAATACAATCCTTTTTCAATTCTGGTTTGCAAACCAACTGAATGAAATGCCTTGCACTCATTTGTTGGTTACATCAAGTCTGACTCCCCATCATCAATTATTGTCTAATGTGTATACATGCTATATTTATCACTTTATAAAATAAAAATATTTAATCTTTTTTCTCTATTAGCGAATTTCCCATATAGGGAATAAGCTATTACCGTAGTACTCATGGTAAGACCTGGACCCGGGACAGATTTTTTTTTTTCGTTTTGAGGCCCCTAGAGGCCAAAATCACCATCCGTTCAAATTCATATATATATATATATGTGTCCGTTAGCGCGATAACTCGAGCAAAAATGATCCGATTTTGATGAAATTTGCTACAAACAAGTAAACCTACGTTTATTCGAACGAGTTCGCGAACCAGCATGATCGGACCATAGGAACGGGGGTTTATGTGGGCTTTTATGGGGTAAAAATGGGTTTTTCCCATTTTTGACCCAAAAAACATAAAACTTTGCAATTTCTTTCTAACTATTTTGTTGAGCTTAAAAAAACAAATAATTTAGTATATTGAAGCGTTATAATGCGCCTAATGGTTACGGAGAAAATTCCAAAAAATTGTAAATTTAAAATTTCCATGTTATTCTTATGGAGAATAAGTAAACTGTTGTAGTTTGCTTGTTTATTAACATATTTTGCCCAAATTTGGAAAATGTTTTGATTTCTTACCAACTATTAACATTTTACATAAAAAACACTTTTACCCTCCCTCTTGCAGCAAACCTAAGTATGTTTTAAACTGATTCTATTTAAATAGGGAATAAATGTGATATTTTTAAGGAGACATTTTAGTGTAAATCCATTCAGGGAAATGGAAATTCGCTTAGTCTGCAGGATTGCTGCGGCGGGGGTATTTTTTTTACCTAGTTTATGGATTCCAGAAGAACAAGTCTTAAATCTACGGGTTTTCATATACTTTGTATCTCCAAAGTTATCTTCCTAACTTTTCAAGCAAAAGATATGACCTCAAATAAGGTGATTCTATAATGAATATGATTTCAATAACACAATTTTTTAACCATAAAATATGTTTTTCTCTATTTCAGTTACTGTGGATTATCCTGCTGCCATTTGGAACAATTATACTGGTTGTCTACATACTTATTGGGTTGACTTGGAAATCATATCTTGTGTGGATTGAATATAAGAAAACAGCTTGTAACTTGAAACTCAGAGTTTCTTACAAGGCATTCAGAGTGAACAGGTATACCTAAATAATAATTTATTGGCCTTACTTGGAAAAATAGCTGGACTTGTTTTTAGCAATTATTTTCGGAAACTTAATAAAAGCCATGGAATATTACCTTGCAAGTATATCAACTACACATAATTAAAGTATGTGTTTCATAATCATCAATAACCAAGTAAACTGTAAGCTTTCATAACTGATTTCTGAGCTTTTTATAGACATTTTAAGATATTTTTCAGTGTTTGCATTTAATAGTCACATAAAAAATATTGATGTGCTGTATGACATTTTACACATAAATCCTTGAAATTGATACTGATGTGGATATTGAATTACGACAATTAATTTAAGTATATCCAAGTTAGCATTTCAACATTTAGATTGTATGCATTAAACCACATAAGGATTAAGTAAAAAGTAAAATAAACATATAATAAATAATACAAGTTTTTTAAAACTGGGAACCGTTCCATTAAATTAATCACAACACAGTTAATAACACACTCCACAGTCATTAGTTCATTTTCCATTGTAGTAGTCCTAATAGTCCAAAAAATTGTATATTATATTTGTATATTATTATTGTTTTTTTAGTGACCGTGTCTTCAGAAGAAATGACTCCTTACAAGAAAGGAATATACTTTATGTAGAGAAAGAAATTGAGGTAATGTATTGTAGTTTCTTGTTTCATAACATATCATTGCTGTATACTTTGGTAACTGTGTCGCATAAGCTTTCTTGTCTCACATACAATGTATCGAATAGAACATTGAAGCCAGAGTGCATGAGCAAGAGGCTTTCAAAATCCTTAAATGAGTAAAGTAGTACTCAAAACAAACAGACTATTAGTGTTGATTTTTTTGAGGCCATTTTCAACATTTATTACCTCAATGATAGTTGTGCTATAAAAATAGTGTTTTGCACCACATATAAGCATAATTGCTTATACATTTTTAAAAGAAAGTAGAAACAGTTTTACTGAGAAAATCTACAAAAAGGGGAGACAAACAGTCTATATGTAGTCAGTTCCAACAAAACTAAAAGACGAATAAATTCTATGTTTTACAATAAGTGAAAAATTCTAAATTTCAGGATGCCAAGACTAGAGGAGAAGTAGATGGATATGAGATCAGCTACAATCAGCTGACGATACTACGAGAGATTGGTCGTGGAGCGTTCGGACATGTGTACTTGGCAAAAGGCGAGGCAATAAGGGGCGTTCCCGGGACAAGAATGGTGGCTGTTAAGAAACTGAAAGGTAGGAAAGTACCTAATATACGAGAGCGGTTTTTAAGTAAGGGCTGTTTTTGCGTAAAAACCCGTAGTTTGCTTGTACGCCTCAACAAGGCCCCTCGCCACTTACTGACGTCCTTTGTGAACAGAATGACATAATTTTTTGACACTTCGCTGTGTGATTTTAAAAATTTGTAATCCATCGAATCTCCCGCCATGTGCGAGATAAGGTCAGTGACGTTTTTTACCACGAGACATGCGATGCTGACATTCATTGCTAGATGACTTAAGTTTGTTGTCTGATACAATGATAGCGGGGAAAGTACAGAAATAGGCTAGAGTAACTAGAGAGCTGAAAAATGGCCGTGGAAATTTTCATATAGGAAGGAATTGTGTTTTTGGTGGATACCCAGACTTCTCACAGAAGACCACAAAGAAAAAAGGATTTCACGGCCCATTTCTGAAATTTACCCTCACTCATTGAATCAGGGCCATGCCCTTCAGTCATCTGGTGATGAATGTTGGCATCGGATATGTTTCTTTTTTTAATAAAAAAACATATTACTAACCTTTATCTCACGTGGCGGGAGATTCGATGGTGTAAAAAAATTATTTAACAGCAAACAGCGTACATGGTAGCCTAAAGAGCTGGAAATTGTGTCAATATGTTCACAAATAATGCCAATAAAGCGGCGTGGAACCTTGTTGTGTTGTACAAGCGAACTACGGATTTGTACACAAAAACAGCCTTTATAAAAAACCGACCTCGTAGGAGGTAGTTTGGGAATGTAAACTAACAAAAAGTGAGATGGAAGATGAAACCATACGTGACCGGAAGTAAATCTCTAAAAAGGAAATAATGGTGATTAGGGAAAATTAGCTTGAGAAATTAAAAAGTAGTAAAAGTTTCAAGATATAGAATAGTCTCTTCATATTTTAACCGTTTCTTCAATTGTCTCAAGGATAATTTAAAATTTTTGTAGAGAAAGCGAACAGGGAAGAGCGTGAAGAGTTTTTAGAGGAGATCGGGATGTTAAAGAAGGTCGGGAATCATCCCAACATCGTCTCATTGCTAGGCTGCTGCACACTCAAAGCTGATGTATGCATGGTGATGGAATACGTGCCTTGCGGGGATCTTCTCAATTATCTACGGAGTCTAAGGAGAAGTCTGGCAAGGAGGACATCTTCTGTCACCTCGTGAGTCTGACGACAAGAATACAAGATATTTTTTATCAGAACATAGCCTTTATGGGAGGAAAACAAGGATTAAAAAATTAATTCAATAGACAACATCTCATTTGGATCCATTGTTTAAATAAGATGGTTTAGATGGTCACATATATAATTCACACACTTGCCGATATCTGAACTACGTCCTTTTTTAATGTCAAACCTTAAATTTTATGACTCTCAGCTCTAGCCTGGAACTATTTTACACATTACTTCCTAGTCATAGTAGGCTTAGAGGGTTGTGGCATTATCACTTAGATAAAATCCATTGGTGTTTGGTGGGATTAGAACCTGGAACCTTGGGAATCATATGAATCAAAGTCCCACGCTGTACCATTAGACAAGCTTGTTCCATAAAAAAAGTAGTCAGAACTGGGAACTTTTCTACATCAGCCCTTATTACTGTATTCATATTTTTGTTTAGTACAATGTTGTAGTTTGTTTAATTATTTTCATCACAAAATTTATACTGGTTGCAGGTCAGACACAATGTATTCCAGCCCCAGCACTGTTATGACAAGCGTCAACTCTTCTATGCACTCTACTAGTGAGTACTATACAAGAGACTTTCCCTTTAACAAACCAAACCTTTAACAGTTTAAAGACAAAGTGGTTTCTGTCTGTTCCAGATAAAAGCTAAAACTACTAGGCTGAAATGTATATGTAACGTAACATATAAGTCAACAACCTGGAAGATATAGACCCATTCTTATCTTTTAAAATTTCCTTGGTTTGGCTGGAATCCAAAGTTTTGAGTTGAAACCATTGGAATCAAATATTGATCAATAAACTTTGCAACACAAAGATATGTTACTGACTGAGGTCACTAAAACCATCTGCTTCTGTATCCAGAACCAATTATTGAAAGCCAAAAAGGACAGTTTTGGTCCAGTTTTGAAGCGTCAAATTTGTTCAAGCTTTTCAAACCAGCAACCTTGGCATCAATAGGCATGCTTTATAGCTGCTATACATTTATTTTTACTAAAATTGGTAAAAAATATACACCATCTATAAATAAACCACTGCTCTACATGATTTTCTGTTTATGTTAAAAATCTCTTGAGTTGGTTTGAAAACTGTTCAGAGATCATACTTTGCAAACATCATGCTTACAAAAGGGATCTAGTCAACATATTTTTTTACAGATCAATTTACTCAAGATTGTCCCTCAATAGAGCATCCCACTCCAATAGATCACAGGGAACTCCAGCACTTTGCCCTCCAGATAGCTCATGGTATGGCTCATCTGGAGTCAAAAAGAATCACTCACAGGTAAGATTCAAACACATAGCATGAATTAAACTATTTTTCTTACTAAATCTGTTTTGTTATTGAAAACAATTAAGCTGTCCAAAAGGAACAGAAAATGTCATGGACTCTGGTGAGAAAGGACACAATGATGCTAAGCATCCTGTACCTGATACGGACTTGTTTTATTGCAGCCAAAAGTGTTATAGTTAAATGAAATTTTCAAATTTTATCTGACATTTTTTGATAGGTGGTTGAGTGGCATTCTTAGATGTATAAATACATAAGTAATACCTATCAATCAATTATCAATTATTTAAGATGGGGACGCCACTATGTGCGTATTTTAACCCAAATATGAGTGAAGGATGAGTGTAGGATGAGTGGCGCGATCTTGTAGTCTTGTTAGTGACTAAGGCCGACATGTTCCTTAGACACAGCTGTTAATTAATAGCCCATACAGCTAATGGCAACTAAGGGACCTACAGTTTATAGTGGAATCCGAACCACATTTTTCCTTGTAATTTACGAATTGGTCTAATTATCAGGATAGTACTGCGGATAGTCGTAGTACTCACTAGTGCGGACGTTAATCCACACCAGTGAGCATCGCATCCACAGTGCATCCCTATAAATATCCACAATTCGTGACCTCCTAGTAGCTGGATTACAGGACGACGCCACCCGTCCCAGTCCTATACAAAGGCATAGACCATTGATAAAAGAAACTAATTTATTTTACTGTGCATACACAAATGCACAAGTGCTAAATTAATAGACAAAGATGGTTCTAATTCTACATTAAACAATACTAAGACATTAAACAAGCAAGACTTTAAGAGTGATAATGATGTTCAACAAACTATTTTGACTTTCCCATTCAATGTTGTTCTTTTTTTTCAGAGATTTAGCAGCCCGTAATATTCTCATTGATAAAAACAAGATATTGAAAATATCAGATTTTGGACTCTCGAGGAGAGGTAAGAAGTTTCATATGCTTCAGTAAATTCAAAGTTAAGTGGATTTAGGAATGTGTTTAATTTGTTATGCAGTTTTCAAAAGTTAAAAGCTAAAGAAGCCTATATTGATTAAACTTATTTTCTAATTCACTGCAACGTTTTCAAGGTACTGGTGATTGTTAACGTTACAAAAGGATATGACTTAAAATGACTTACCTTGCAGTTTACAAACATTATAAAGAGCTGAGGATAAATATTTCCTAAGATTCAGTGTATATTTTAAATTCTAAGCCCTTGTGACTTAGAACTATTTAGTTTTGAATTTTTTTTAGTTATTTTTTTCATTAGCCAGTTTATTTACTATTGCTCTCCCCTTTTATAGCTAGGTAGGATGTTAGCTAAGGTTATATTTTAGCTTTGACTATTATTACAACAACATTTTAGTGAGAGAAGTGAATTTGAGAATTTTGTTCCCAACACACATGTAGTTCCTATGTGGGAGAGGATTATGGAGTTAAATTTTATTTCAGATTTTCTTTGGAATTACAGTATCTGTTTTTGGTTTGATTCCATTTGATTTTTCATATTGAAAATTTATGAATGATTAATTTTGTTTAGGAGTCTACATTAACACGAGACAATGCAAAGTTCCATTAAGATGGCTCTCTGTGGAAGCGATGAGAGATGCGTTGTACTCCAGCAAATCCGATGTTTGGGCGTTTGCTATTGTACTTTGGGAGATCGGAACGCTAGGTAAGGTTTCATATAGTTTATTGCAGATCTATGGGTGCTATTAAACAATGAATGGAAGGAAAATAAACGGCAACAGCAATCTGACTCATACTTTCTCCCATAAGCTTGCCAAAAACCTTTATCATGTTTAGTGGTAGAAGTAACTAAATGTTGGAAATAACTATTTGATAGGGAAAACCACAAAAGTTGTAATAACTTTTTAACTGTAATTTTTTAGCTACAAGGGTTGTACTATTTTGTTTAGAGTTAGAAGTACCACAAAATACTAAACTCCAATTAAAATCGGTCAAGATATTTTGAAATTCAATTTCTTTGGTATTTTACAAATTTTGTATGGAAAATCACAGAAATTACAATAACTTTTGAACCGAATCTTATACAACAATGGGGCTTCTACCGTTTTGTTAAAAGGACTACAAGGGATTTGTATGCTGAAGTTAAAAACATGTCAAAGTCATTTCATCCAAAGCTGAACATTTGTAGGGACAAGAATAACTTCCCAATTTTTGACGAGGATAAAATTATAGAGAGATGTAGGCTGAACACTTCTACCATACCCCTAATATAAATTCGAAACTTTCACCTAATAGAACCAATGAGATGATCGTAGGCGTTGAGCCTTGGATTGACAGCCCTACTGTTGAATAGGTGAGAGAAACCATTGCAAGCTTGGAAAATAACAAGGCTCCCGGAGAATATCAAATCACGGCAGAGTTATTTAAGAGTGGAGGGTATTTTTTGTTGACAAAAATTCACAAATTGAGGTGTCAAATATAGGAGAAGGAAGATAAAGACTGTAAGATTGGCATCATATATCCCATTTTTAAGAAGTATCACTTTGAACAGTATACTTTTATGGCTTCAGGGGGACCGGGAAAACAAATAATATCCTTATAAAACTCAAACTGGACAATTTTGATGAAAATTACAAAAGTTCATGTTTTTAGGATTTTTTGAGAGGATAGCAGACTTACCTGAATGGGAAAGAGTCCAAACTGGCACAGGAAACACAAAACAAAACTTTACACTATATACACAAAACATTAGAATATTTCACTGTCACTGACAGCATTTTCAACTAAGGAAGCTCCTTTTCCTAAGGAATCCTTAGTTGAAAATGCTTAAAAGAAGTAAGCTCCTTAGTTGAAAATGCTGTCAGTGACAGTGAAATATTCTAATGTTTTGTGTATATAGTGTTAAGTTTTGTTTTGTGTTTCCTGTGCCAGTTTGGACTCTTTCCCATTCAGGTAAGCCTGCTATCCTCTCAAAAAATCATAATGTTTGTAATTTATATATCTGATGGATGGTTCCAAGACTTTTCAGCAATAACTGAACAATTTCATTATATTTCACATCTAATTGTCAATTTATGTAAAGTTAATGTTTTTAATTTTAGAAATGTTGTTTAACCACTTCATTTGATGAAGCTGAATAACAATCCTCTATTTGAGTATAAGATTTGTTTAGAAACTAAACTGACAACTTTTAACAATATTTTACAAAGTAAAATAAATTTAATTAACTTGTCCATATTTCAGGAGGATTTCCTTACCCAACTGTAAATGACTTTGATCTACTTAATTTCTTAGAACGAGGAAACAGACTTGAAAAACCAGATATAGTATCTTCAAATTTGTAAGTAAAATTCAGTCTAACATAGAGCTAGTTAAAAATGTATTCATAGAAATTCGTTTTGCATTTCAGTTATTCGATTATTTACACTCCAATGTAACATAAATCTATTGAACATTTTTGAATCACAAAATAGCACATGGTGGATCAAATAGTTTTCATCTAACTTATTGTCTATGTTTAACAAAACAGATACTACAGTACAACATTAAAAAATGTGTTTTGTTAAAATGATAACAATTTTCCTCTGACTCCAATCCATAGTTATTGAAAAACTATGTGATTTTAATTCAACTCAGTACAAGGTGATTTACTTGTAATGATTACTACGGTATGTGTAGTGATTTTAGTGAAATGAAAACTCTGTATTGATTTGCATTTACACTTTAATCAAAACTATGTTACGGTGGCATCGTATTTTAATCCAGCTACTAGGAGGTAACGAATTGTGGAATTTATAGGCATGCACTGTGGATGCTATACTTCCTGGTGTGGATTACGTCTGCAGTAGTAAGTACTACGACTATCCGCAGTAACGTTCTGATAATTAGACCAATTTGTTAATACCAAGGAAAAAATTTGGATCGGATTCCACTATAAATTGTAGGTCCCTTAGTTACCATTGGCTGTGCTATTAATTAACAGCTGTGTCTAAGGAATATGTTGGCCTTAGTTACTGACAAGACTACAAGATTGCGCCACTTGTCCTACACTCATCTCTATTTGTATTTATACTTGGCTTAAAATACCTACTTTTGTGTGGTGGCCACTCGCCATTTCAAAGTAAAGTAAAGTAGTATGTAGTTCTTTACATAGTAATAAGAAATATTATATTGCCTGGAGAACTCTGTAGTGACTTACACTGTAATGAATGCTCTCAAGTGATTAAGACTGTAATGACATTGACAATTGACAACTATGTTCCAGATACTCAGTGATGCAGGTTTGCTGGTCCGAGCGACCAGATGACCGTCCATCGTTCACTGAGCTCGTGTCCTATCTGAGTCCTAGCTCTGATCGCCACGTTTACGTACAAATATCCCCCCACCCCCAACTACCACCTACAACCCCCGACCTGTATGTCAACTCAACTGTCTCCCCTAGTTAAACTTGGTTTGGAATAGTCCCCAATAGTTTGTAGTTTTTTAAGTATTCTAGAGACTGTTTTGATTTGTACACTTTATCGAATTCAGGTGCTGTACATCCTCTTTCCCTAAAGGCTTTATTAATTTGTGTCAATTTACATTTTAGTTTCACCATAGTCATAACAGCTTTACTGTATCGCCTGCGTAGCAAACCTTAGCAAATATAAAATCCTGAACACAAAAGGATTTTAAAATATGGACAAACAGGGTGTCTACTGGTTTGCTTTTTAAAATCTGACTTTTTAAGACAAGTGATCTTTTTCCATTAAGTATTTTATAAATTTTGGTAGTTTATCTATTATCTGTTACATAAGGGATAACCATTAAATACGGTTTAGTTAAGGGAAATCATTTAATTTTTAAACCCAAGCATTCACCATTAATTCCATTATGCACTAAACTCTGATCCATTTACTTGAGTTTTCTTTTATGTTTATTACTAAAACAAAAACTCTGAACTGATCAGCTCAAATTCTAGTATACTGTATACAGGGTGTTTTTTTAAACGTGCCACCATTGGGATCTCAGTAACTAATGATTTTACAGCAAACTTTAAATGGGGAGCATTCTCTTGTTTTTAAAGAGGTTAAAAAATAATCAAATAAAATTTCTGTAAATGTCCGCCATTTTCCAATATGGCGGTCAACTTTAAAATTTCTTATGGAACACCCTATATTTTATGTTTTCGGATAGAACATGAAATTTAAAAACTTTTTTATTCCTAACATGTTTTCGATAAACCTACTCGTTTAGGAGTTACAGCCTATGGAAAAATGACTTCCGGTGTACATTTTACATCATGTAGCACCTAAACAAGTAGGTTTTTTCACAGAATAAGTTTAAGATGAATTAATGATGATTTGTATTAAAGATGCAATGCGACCAATCCAAGACTTAAAAATCTTTTCCTACAGTTACCTAACAATTTACATGTTATCTCACTGATTTGAGAAAGCAAAGTGGCCAATTCGCTCATCAGTGAGACAATGTTAACATTGTCTCACTCTACTTACTTTGTCTCACTCCAGATCTGCAACGTGAAGGCACGTTTCTTTACCAATTTATTTGTTTTATGGTAACTGTAGGAAAAATATAATGTGCAACTCGAGTGCAAAGTGCAATCGCCTCACAAGAAACCATTCCTCACTCGCCTACGGCTCGTGAGTAAGGATTTCTCTCGAGTTAGGCAATTGCTCACTTTGCTCACTAGTTGCACAAATAACTATTTCAAACTTTACTTCCTCAAAGAAATGGCAAAGGTAGGTTGTAAAAGTTACCAATAAAAAACTAAGATATTAAATACAGTAATACAAAATATAATTCTATTTCAATATAATTAACTATTATTTACATTGCTATTTGTTATGTACAATAGAACCTTAATATTAGTTACATATTGCTATTAGGCACCACTGAAGTACAGTAGACTCTCGATTAATCGAGGTTGTTGGGACAGAGACTACCTCGGTTACTGAGAATCTCAGATAACACGGAGGTCTCTTTGATAATGTCAATATCAAAATACCGTAGGCATGACAATGACTGGCAAAAGGTGCAGAAATAAAATGCTACTGCTATCGTTTACATTCTTCAGACGACTTGTTCAGTTTGCCAGCCTGTACTATGTCATTTTATTTTCTATGTTGTTGTGGGACATTTGTAAGTTAAAATAATACTAGTAATAATAATTATTAAAAGTATTAATTTTATCAAATCACAAATTACTTGTTATTTTTACTTTACTTTCAATAAAAATATTTTTTAATAATGCAATTGTTGTTTTTAACCGAAATATAAAAATATTTAGGCATAAATAAATATACAATACATACCAACAAAATACATAACAACCTCGAATAACCAGTGCTTGGATAATCGAGTGTATACTGTATTAAGAAATATATAATCATATTAGATATGAAATAATTTATCAGTCTAGAATATACTGTCATTACCAATGCTATTTAGGATGGCTTGCATTTTATTGTTTATTAAAGTGGATTTATTTTGGTTTTTGGAATTTAAAATAATGTTTGTTGAAGTCAATGGAATTAATAAAACTGATGTCAATATATGATACACACTGAGTTTATGAATGGTAAAACTGTTGAATGTATTTATTTTTTTATTTTACACAAATATACCAATTCTCTTAGCCTTTTGTATATACATAATTCTTGAAACTGACTTTTCTCTTTTACCTCCAAAACCAAAATTTTTACAAGAAAATGTAATCATATAGTAAATAAGAATGAAACACATCTATGGCAAGAACTGGAAATTTTTAAAAGACGATTTTTTAGCATTTTTAAGGAGTATTGCATTAACAGTTCAAAGACTCACTGAGTCATAAAATTACGACAAAAAACTTAGGCCCGATTTCATAAAACACTTAACCGCCGTTAAGCCTTGCTCTAACTGCAGTTAGCTCGTAACTGACGAAATCGGATTTTACCACTCACCATTAGAGCTAGTTTAGACTAAACCGTCGTTAGATAATTAACTGTCTTGACCGGTTAACTTTTTTAATCTTTAGTTAAGTAAATATCAGCTGGCTTTAAGTTTTAAGTTTATATGGAAAGGCCAAATGCTAGAAGAGTATACGATACGAATTAGCTTTTGAAAGTGATAGTGATGAAGAGTAGCCTATGTTGTTCGCCGAACTAGGTGGATAAGAGAAAAGGTTAATGTTTTTACTAAGATGATATTAGTTTTAATACTAGATATGAATTATCAAAACGTTTTGCCTTTTTCTTTAGGTTATCCCACAAGGTTTTTAGTAAAGGCGTATCTCTAGTATTTTAGTGTCGGGTAAGTGATCAGCGATGGCGTAAAACTGATCGGGATCAAGAGCCACTCTTTTATCCTGGCTGGAAAAAGTGCTTTTCTACCTACATTATCAAATTCCTTTTTTCATAGTTTGAGAATTAGGCTCCTTTTTCCTTTCCCCGGTTTTGAGTAAGCCTAACCCTACGGTCAAACAATTAATTCAGTTCAGTCAGACGTAATTAAGGACAATAACTAAACCTAAATAGTCATTATTCTGCTAGTATTTATATAAAATCATTATTTTTATGTTATCTTTATTATGTCTCGTTCTTGTAACTCTTTTTGCCTCAAGTTTTCTCACTATTTCAAAATGTACTGTAAAAAGTTAGATTTTGAGTCTTGCTTGACTCAACAGCAAACCTCAATCAATTTGTTCCTCAATTGAATCTGTTTTAACAACATTACTTTGCCTTTATTTACTCATGTTAATTGTTTTGCTATTTATTCTTGTTTTCTGTTGTTCTTGTTGCTCAGAATCAATTGTATTCTTGCGATCTTGCTGTCTCCAGTTTTGCTTTCACTACCTCATAAACACCGATTTATTTTCTACGTTATGCTTACTTATTGCTCCTATTACAGCCTGGTATTATGACAGTTTTCTGCCACCCCCACCTGGATTTTACTCTTGTTTATAAAACCAGCGTTAGTTTTGACGCGTTTTCGTTGGTGAAACCAGATTTCCTTAACTGAGGCTAAAATCATCAGTTAGTTTTAACCGAAGATTAACTAAACCATCGTTAGCGTTAATTTGGTGAAATTGGGCCTTAATTAATTTGATTGATCTATAAATAAAATACCCCCGCCGCAGCAAACCTGCCGTCTAAGCGAATTTCCATTTGTCCGAATTGATTTTCAATTGATCTATTTAAATAACATTATTAGGTTTAACGAGTACCTAGGTTTGCTGCTACAAGGAAACTAATAAAGTAGTGTGTTTTTAGTAAAATATTGATAGCTTACTATAAAATAAATAAATTTGCCAACTTTGATCAAAATATATCCATAAACAAGCAAACTTCAACATTTTACAATATTCTCCATAAGAATAACATGGGAATTTTAAATTTACCATTTTTTTAGTTTTCTCCGTAACCAATAACCGTACAAAAACACTTTGATATACTGAATTGTTTGTTTTTTTAAGCTCTTTAAGAAGGTTTAGAGAAAAATTGGGAAATTTTGTGTTTTGAGGGTAAAAAGTGAGAAAAACCCATTTTTACCCCATAAAACCCCCTATAAAACCCTGTTCCCATGGTCCGATCATGCTGGATCGCGAACTCATTCAAGTTTATCCCGCCTTACACCTTCAAACCAAATTTCATCAAAATCGGATGAAAATTACTCAAGTTATCGTGTTCACGGACACATATATATATATATAAATCTATATATATACCTATATATATATATATACATATATAAAAATTTGAACGAATGGTGTTTTTGGCCTCTGGGGACATTAAAATGAAAAAGTAAATCGGTCCCGGGCCTAAGTCTTACCATGAGACCTACGGTAATAGCTACTTCCCTATAGGGAAATTCGCTAAAATGTAAATTTTCAGCCAAAGTTATGAAAGGAGTTGAAAGGCAAATGGGTTTATATTGCTAACATCAAGGGAAGTCTGTTGAATACTTCCCACGTTTTAAATAAGCACATTGTTTGCTTGGTATGTTCAAATTTGTCACCCTGAGACATACACTTCTTAACTTGCCCTATTTTGAGATTAGTTTCAGTAGATGCATCCTGTCACCAACAGAACTGTTTCTCTGAAATGAGAGCTTGTAAAGTCTGCTGCGTCATTAACCTGAAAATATCAATTATATTAATAAGAGTTAATAAATAAATGAGTTTGCTGAATAGAGTTTGTAGTGATGTGTTGGTCAAAATTGATAAATTCTCGATAGCGATTTATAAAAAATTGATTCTTGAAACTGATGCTTTTTTAACCCTACCAATTTTTTTTCCTAATCATCTCCTGTAGCCATGTAGACATCATGATTGTCTCCTGCAGTCACTGAAAAATACTGAATATCTACTGTGGTCATATGGTCATATAATCTTTTTCTGCGATCCACGGCAAAATTCTAATCATCTCCCGCAGTTGTGGCAAAATTAATAATCGTCTCCAGCACCCGTGCAGACATCATCACACGGTCACAGGAACGTTATCATTGTATTGCAGGGTATAAACAAGATTTTTGATGGGATTTTGGGAGACATTGATGTTCTCAACACGGCAAATAACGATATTACAACAATAACCTAGTCACCGAAAAATGGTTGGTTTGGGCGAGAAGTCAGAATAGGAGAGGTCGGATTGGTGGGGTTCTACTGTACATTCTAAGATGAAAAAGGAAGTTAAATGATTCAATTAAAATGTTGAACCTCATTGTTGTGTTAAATGTTCCAAAACTAGAATTAGTCTGCTAGCAGTACAAAGCAAAAATTGAATACAAATTCCCTAACCCAAATTTGTCTAGTAGTATGGAAATAAAAAGGTTACCTCAAGTGATGATCAAAACCAGAAATTTCAAAGTTTGGATTCACAAAACTTGTCAAAAGTTTTCAAATGTTTTGGTGGTTTACCTCATGGTATGGGTGGGCACAGCTGATGAGTATAACACACACAGCAAGTTGCTAGAAGAGCGCAGGGCGTGGACCTTGTGGTACTCAGAACACCAATATGTCTCTAGAGCCTTCTGTGGCAGGTCTGCAACATTAGAACATTTTTTACAGAGAACACATTTAGAAAATATAACTTTTTGGATAAACAATCGTCTTAGAAAGGGAGAATGATCCGTCATCTTTCTTCTATTTAGCTCTGGAAAAAGAGCTGAAGATAAATAAGAACTAGATAAATTTGTAAGTTGCCTTCACAATAAGGTGTGTATTTTTAGTTTTAAAAAGGCCTTTTTTTAATGAATGTTAAATGGGATTATAGTATGTATACTCGTGTTTGGCTCGCTGGGGGCTCTACCCCCAGGCCCCCTTTTAACTTTAGTCGTGATGAGAAATGGTCACGAGGGACAGGATATTGTCTGGGACATTTTTTCCGCGTTAAAACCCCAATGATAACTTTGCAGTTTCAAAGTATTTCATAGAGGGATTGCTTGTAGCGAATATCAAACAAGTCTTGACAAGTTAAGAGTCCCGATGTGGGGTTGGTGCTTTAGTGATTGAAATTTGCTAATTTGTTTTTTTTGGGGGGGAGTTACAATATTACAGTGCCTGGCACAAACTTTGTTGAGGGCCCCCTCCCCCTACATCAGATGTACACCATAGGGGGCAATATGAATATTTCAATAGGCCTACTCAACAACTACTGAATATTCTATTTACCCTGGCACTCACCCTGTTTATGAAGATGTATTGCTGTGTTGTAGTAGAAGTTACGCAGTATATCTGACGGTGGGCGAGTGTCCTTTTTGTTGGCCAAATTGTGGCAAAGAACAAACTTTCCAATATCACAGTGAATCAGCAATAGCCTGAAGAGGAAAGCATAATTGTACAGACATTTTAAGCAGATATTCCATTTTTAAAGCTAATTTATTTACACCCAAAACTACCAGAACCAGGTCTTAGTAAGCTTTACACAAAGGTACTCTGACACTGCTAATAATATGATTATTAGCCTCACCCCTGTATGCCTTGGTTGAGTTGGAGAGACGCAGGCAAGTTGCCCTGGTTGTGTAGAGTAGTTGCGAGTGTTGCTACAGAGCGGCGCCACCAGTTGGCTGCCAGCTGCTCTACAGTGGCCAGGTCCGGCGCGGGACCACACAGTACACTGACCCAAGCACCGGCCACCAGACACACACTGACCAGGCGAAACGGTACCTAAAACAAACAGGTTTAGATCCCTGACTTTATTCAATTGTGCCTTAAACACATCAATTTGTTGCGTCAATTGTGCCACTGCCAGATGATTCACCCTCGCCATGAAGTGGAATCTTCAAGCTAGGGGAGACAAACTTCAACTGGTGATGCCAAAATAAAACTATTATTTAGATAAGCTACAATGGCAACCCATTATGTCAATATGTATGTAACTAAAAAAATATTTGTATCTAGCTTCAAAAGGAAATGTATAAGACATTTTTCACAAACTCACCGAAGGACTCTTACACGGTAGGAAGACTGGAATGTCTGAAGAAGTTGTTGCAGTATTTGCTGCAACCACCAGACTGAGAAGTTTTCTTTCCTCCACAGCTAACTCCCACCACCCCAGCGTTGCCACGGCAACGCAGCCATCCAATAGTAAACAGGCAAACAATGACTCTACACTCTCCGCAAACGAGTCTAGTCTCGACTGTCAACAAATCATTTGAGGAGTTATTTTTGGCAAGAGAGTTAAATTAGATTCTAGTGGCTAATGGAAGGTCGCAATATTTAAATACGAAAATCAAACATTAGAGTGCAGTAGTCAAACCTACAATGTTAAATGCCAGTGAGACTTAACAGGAAACGGATATAGAAAACTCAAAAAAAGGAAAAATGAAAAAAGTTAGGGAAATTGTTGAACCGCCAAACCTACAAAATCCATGAGTTATCCTATTTTGTAAGGAACAATACTTACTTGCAACACAGTATTTTCCTCGTGTAGAACAACCTCTACTAAGGGAAGCAGTGGAACCCTAGCAGAAGCCCTCTCCCCAGTGTCCAAACATTCCAGCAGACGATCCACGATCGGAAAGCAGGCCTGCAAGTTTGATATTGTTATTTTTTTCACTGACATAGAGACAAATTTACAAAGTCCATCTATGACCTCACACTAGTAATTCTAGGAACATCATAATGTCTTGTTCACAATTGACTACTCTTTCTTCAATCTTGTGGCAGCTTTAACAGTCTCATAAATTTAATGTGACAAACACTAAATTCTTCTGCATTGACAATGATAGGCTGTCATTTGGTAGCCCCCATTTGTTCATATTATGCGAAGAACACAATTTCAATGAACAGTTGTTATTTGTCACTAGACCTCTGGTGAGATATACCTATATAGTGCGATATACCTTTTACCTCAAATGGTTTAAATGAATTAAATAATGTTATATATATAGTATGTTCGAGTAAAAGGGCAATATGATAATATTCAGCCGAAAAAAAAACCATGCGTGGGTTTTCTAATTTGAATATTACTTGAGAATTCTGCTAGGTTTACAAACTTATTAAGATATATAAATTATTACATCAAATATTTTTAATAATCCATTCTTGAGAAAACAATGTTTTATTGTAACAGGTAAAACAAGACCTTATTGTCTTATTCAGCCTCTGACATAATAGAAAAGGAAGGAAGATAGAAAAAGAAGTAAAGAAAAAAAACTATCATTTTCTTATTTCTCAGGGGTATCATTAATTCACTTTTCTACTTGGAGCAGATGGGCTTAAGTTTTCACATGCTAAAACCTTATAAAACCAGACCAAGTTTTTTTTTACTTAATTGTTTGGTCATTACAGACACAAAAGTATAATTATCTTGCCTAGCCTATATAAAGTAATCTGGATTAATTGGTACCAGACCCCATCTGGATTATCAAAATTACCTAAAAAAGGCAGGCATGTATTTTTTTAGTACAGCACATTAAAAAAATATATTATCCATCATAGGTAGAGTAAAGAGTCTAAAAGAGTGATGAGTTAAAAATATTTTTTATCTTCGAGTCACTATGTATCATAGGCCTATTTATTTCATAGCAACATGTGTACAGTGTACTGTAATAATATGACTTTTTAACTGCTGCTGGTTCTTTATTTGCAGCTAAGTCCTTAATTTCTTTTAAAAGACAGTACCTACGAAATTTTATTTCTACAGGGTGTCCACAGAAATTTTGTCATTAATTTCCCTGACTTTCCATTACTATCCATGACCATTAACCATTGATTTCCATGACTCATGAACTTTACTCTTAAATTATAATATAACGCAAACACACAAATAATACTGCCTAGACAGAAAATATTGAAATACGTATTAACAGATAACAATGGCGTACAACAGGTACAACGATGAACTAAATACAAACTCAAAACCCATAAACTAAGACAACTAACTGTATAAATTGAATTGTCATATTTGTGAACAATTCGGAAAAATGCTGCAATAGTCAGGGTTACGGCCAACTAGATCATTGAAAGGACCCCTGAAATCCATCCATCATTGGTGATTTCCATGACTTTCCATGACTTTTTGCCTATTTCCATGACTTTCAATGACCAGAATTTTTTTCCATGACTTTCCATGACTATCCCTGACTTTCCAGAATGGACACCCTGAAAGCTTGTTTCATTTTTTCTTATTTCAAAATATGTGTAAACTGTAAACACATATTTTTTCATTTTTTCAATATGCTATACGACTCTTTAAATACAAATCCAGACTGTTTACGGTAGGTATGTAGTTTTGACGTTTAAATTAACTTAGTGAGGTTTTATTGTAATGTCATAGGATTTGCACAAGTCAGACCATTGATAAGACATAAAAATGCCCAACGTGTATATTCTCTTTATTAGGTAGAATATTGTACTAAACATTGGACGATGCCTTTAAAATAACTCAGATCTGTTGAGAAGGTAAATATATAATACCTAATATATATTTGCTAATCCATGATTAGGCTATGTTTAACTAAAAATTATAGATTAATTAGTTCTGTCTAAAAATGGCTGTTGTTGAAAGGTTGTCAAAATAAAGAGTGAAAAGGGTTTATAATAGGTACCAGACTATGTTTATGTGTACTCCAATCTCAGCATATAGCACACAAAAACCCCTAGGACCAATAATGGATTATTGAACAAATATAATTATAAAGGGCCAAATTAACAGGGTGCTATAAACTGAGTCATAGTATGTGTTTGAAAATATCACTTTGGATCCATAAAACTAATATTTCTTCCATTACTGAATAATTCACATAAGAATGTCAACTCCACTATAGAAAGCAGACTCTTCCTGCACTTGTATACCTTACACCACCACCAGTTGTTAAGTAGTAGTCACCCTAAGTTCCCGCTTGAGTCGTTCCACACTACGGATCGTTCTGAGCTCTTCTACGCCGACACAGAGCACCATTGCTTGAAACACAGCGTGCACCAACTCCTTCAGCGTGCTCTCAATAGCAGGTGTACCAACTGCTATCAATGTTATGCTAGAAACAAGCAGCCCATAGGTGAAACAGTCAGTTTTGTAATAATTGAGAGTAAATAAATACAATGAGTTGTTTGTCACCACAACATAACAACCGCAGTGGCCATGACTGACGAGAGGATACTTTTAAAATTTCTGTATACTTTGAGGATACAGAAATACAGGTAATCTATTGTCTAATTACAATCAAATTGAGTAACTCTTTATCTAATTCAAATTTGTAATAAGATTCCTTTGGGTTGAAGCCTACTGAACTCCTTCCAAAAAAAGAGGAAACTAGCATAGAATTTGTAAGGTAGGCCTACATATTTTGTTAAATTGTCCATAACCAAAGAAAACGCTAATTCCACACCTACACACACATTGAATACACTCCCATGACAATTCATGTCATTCTTTGAAAAGGATCCACGTCAGATCTAATTGATTTCGGATAGTTTAATTTAATGAGCTGGGATTTTTTTTAGAACTAGGAAACTACAGTTTCAATGGAGCGCTACCCTGCACAAAAAAAAAACATAACAAAAAAACATATTAAGTTTGGTTTGAAGTCGGTATTGCATTGAGGAAACTGGCATTGAGCCTTTAAACTTAATGATAAATAAATAACGTGTTAATGAAATTTCCGTTACCTGTCTTCAAAGTCTTTCCATATGATGCTGGAGTCCTGGGATTGAGCGTTTTCAATTGTGATTTGTTGACTTTTGCCGAACATATGGACTCCATTTAATGATCCAACAATGGAGAACGCCAACTAAAACAAAAATTGGCCCACTAACTAAAACAATCATACAAAGAGACTGTGTCCTGTGTATATTATAATGACACTAGCAACAGAGCCCGTTGTAGTTAAATACAACGGTCCCTAGAAAGTACAGTAGTACATAATATATGCCCTTGTAAGTACCTGAACTTTTTTTTAAGAATGAAATTGTTTAGGAAATCAACTGATTTTCTAAAAGAGTAAAATAATTAAAAACAAATAAAAATATTTTATTTACAGTATTTCTTTGTAAACAACATTCTTTGTAAAGACTTCATCTGATTGTTTTAATAATCTTCCTTGTTCTTTGCCAGGGATAATTTTAATTTCTATGTCTTCAAACCTTTTAACCCTTGATATTGCAACATACAATTGTCCATGGCTGAATACTGGTGCTGGAAGGTATATCCCAACTTTATCCAATGCCTGGCCTTGCGCTTTGTTTATTGTAATAGCAAACGCTAATTTTAAAGGAAATTGCCGTCTTTTTAAAACAAATGGTAAATCTGTGTCCGTCTGTGCTAAGTCAATCCTTGGAATAAATACAATTTCACGTGCTGCTAATGCAGTTAAAACCTCTGCAATTATTGAATTGGGCTTGAGTTCTTTAACAATTAATCGTGTTCCATTACGTAACCCCCGTTTTGTGTTTAAGATTTCGTAGCAACATTATTACAGCTCCAATTTTTAAATTTAATTTGTGTATTGGCATTCCCAATTCACAAATTAAGGAGGTTGAGGAAGTTGCATCATCTCTGAGTGAAGTGTTGGTCAGACTATCTTGTTCTGTTTCTTTTTCATTTTCTGGGTCTCCATCCTTTTGATTGCTTGATAAACACTTTTTTACCCCTTGGAATAAATCTTTATCTATACTATAATTTGGTTTCTTCAATTTATTTTTATGAGCTGTTGATTCACGTCTGCCAGAACACGTTTTACTTTTTCAATTTTTTGATGCACGGCCACGTTTTGATTTTGGTAAGATTATATCCTCTTGATTCTCAGGCATACTATTGTATATCAAAACATCGTAATGCCCAGCATCCACATTTCCTGAGAATCGTAGTTTATAGATCGTTGTGCCTTCACCAACCGTTACAAAATAATCCAATTTCTCAGCATATATTTTGAATTGACAGTCAAAAACTCTTGCTGCAGCTTCGATTTCGACATTACCGGCGTATTCCCCATCTGTGGTCATCAAATTTCTGTATTCCGTCGCGTTTTTTACTTCTAGCCTATATGTCTTATCCCCTACGATCAAAGGACAATAGTAGTCCCAGTTATTGACGACTTCATCAAATACCGTGGATCGTATATCACTGTATCTGGATTGAGATTTATGGCATAAAAATGAGACACTTCTAAAGAAACAGTTTCCATCACCAACCATGTAGTGAAGAGTAAAGTTATTCATTTTTCAACTAATGTAAAATATTGAGTTTATAATTAACAGTTCAAAATAACGAATATTAAATACTATTTTAAACTGTGAATTATAAATTAAATTTGAAGAATTTATAATTGACAGTTTAAAATAATAATTTTTGGTTATGAAATCCATACTTCACTTAACTTACCAATACTTATTAATGGTACGGATTAAAAACATCACTTTAGAAACACACTTTACGGACCTCAACCACCAATTCAAATAGGAAACAACTAAATGTAAACAAAGAAAAATCAAGGAAATAACAATAAAACAATCAGCTGTTAAACTATAGGTTAATACACGTGTTCCATATGATCAGATGATGCATACTGGCTAACCCATTATTACTACCATCATTTTTTTTAGATTATTCATACCGGCAAACGTATTACTACCATAAATAAATAAAACTCAAACTTTACTAATTATTTGGAAATCTACACAGATTTTATTGACCTATTAATTAATAAAATCGGTCCAGTAGAACTGTAGATTTAGTTGCAGAAAGTTAACAAAAATCTCTCCAATTTAATATTTTATCACCACAATAAATTAGGAGGTTGCTAAGTTTTTTTGCAAATAACTCTTAAACGGTGAGGAAATCGACCAAAGTGGAAGGTGATATTCTGAAAGAAAATAAAATTTGCTACTAAGTACTCTTAGGGGTTTTTTGAAAATATTCAAAAAAGGCAACATAAAGTTAACTGAAATTAAAATTTTAAAATATTAACTATAAAAAAACAGTTTTTAATGTATTTTTGCTTTTTATTCTTTATTCACCACAAATATTAAATAAAATCAAACTTTCATAATTATTTGCAAATCTACACAAATTAGGCTTTCCAACGATACATTAGTTAACAAAATCGGTCCAGTAGAAGTCTAGATTTAGTTGTACAAAGTTTAACAAAAAATCCCTAATTCAGTATTTTTAACAACTAAAAATTTGGAGGTCACTTATCTAATTTGACAATAACTTTTAAATGGTGAGTAAATCGTAGAAAATACACGTGATATTCTGAAAGAAGATAAAATTTCCTACAATTATCTTCTGTGTATTTCTTGAAATTATTTAATAAAGGCAGCCAAAAGCTGACTACAAATATAAACTTGAAAATAAAAACCTGAAAAAACAGTTTTTAATGTATTTTTGTTATTTTTATTTTTCTACCACAAATATTAAATAAAATCAAACTTTCATAATTATTTGCAAATCTACATGAGTAAGGCTTTCCAATGACTCATAAATTAACAAAATCGGTCCGGTAGAAGTCTAGATTTAGTTGTACAAAGTTTAACAAAAATATCCCAAACTCAATATTTTCTCATTATTATAAATTCGGAGGTTGCTTAGCTTTTTTTCAAATAACTTTTAAACGGTGAGGAAATCGACCAAAGTGGAAGGTGATATTCTAAAAGAAAATAAAATTTCCTACAAATTGATACCATACACTTCTAGGAAACACTAAAAAAAGGCAGCTAAAAGTCGCACCCAAATAAAAAGTGTGAAAAACACCGTTTTCAATGTATTTCTTATGGAAAACATGTTTTTTGAAATTTTTCACCATAAATCATAATAAAAACAAACTTTCATAATTATTTGCAAATCTACACGACCTAAGCTTTCCAACGACCCATTAATTAATAAAATCGGTCCAGTAGAACTCTAGATTTAGTTGTACAAAGATTTTTAAAACTGAATTATATATAGAATAGATAGTGGATAGAGTGCTCGGCTGATATCCAAGAGGTCCCTGGTTCGAAACCCATCGGTTTCTTTAACTTTTTGTCACAGATTTGGCTTTGAATGTAATTTCTTCTTAACTGTACATCTTTTGTTAGAATTTTTGGCATTTATAATTGGAGAGAATTGAACCTTCATTTGTTTTTTTTCATTATCAGCAAGTTTGGTTGGTTAGGTTAGGTTATGACAGTAACTGCTGGACGCCTAATCCACGTCTGGTTACCGGACGCGTATCCTCTGCGATTACAATATAGTGAGATACTCATCATGACTAAATACTATCATACTAGGTATCAAATTATGGGATTGGGATAGCATAAAATGAATTTAGACAGTGGTAAATACATTAACAAAATTAACACACATTAACAAACACATTAAGTTACTAGGCTTAAGTTAGAAAAATAAATACTGGTACCGATTCAGAAGCTCCCCTATGTCTGGAGAACAACGGAAGACCACTTGAACTAGTGACAGCAATGACATGAATGCCCATCGTGCCTTGGCAAGGTAGATGTTAGGCTGTAAAAAATGAATAAATAATTAACTATAAATAAAAATTCGGCTAACCTAGGCGGCTACCCTAAATTAAAACCACTGCTTGATGCCCGTTTATATTGAAAGGCTTATAAACGCATTCTCTAAAGTAAAGGAATAGCTAGGACACTGGACTCTATAAAGTTGGACAATAAACACAACAATCGAAATATAACAACTAACAAGAACAAGCATTCAAGCAAATTAATATAAACAAACCTAAAAAAACTTGACAGTTAGTTTCAGTAGTGCAGTTGTTGACACTTTCACTTTGTAACTTTTTTTGTAATAATGTAAAACTAACAACAACAACAGTCAGACAGAGACAGGAGACAGGCAACATTAAACAAACAAAATAACAGCAGTGCTGCCACTAGCCAAACTCTGGTAATTATGATTTAGCTGCTTCCAAACAAAACAGCTGTTACAACCCCACTTGTGACGTTGCCACTTTCGAAGGCCCCTGATTTAAATTTAAATTTATTTATTTATTTATCATACGGTAAACACCATTTTTACAATCGATAATACATGAAGGCAAGTTACAATAAAATATTTATAAATATATATAAGTCAGATTCAGATTCATCTTGCTGGAAAAAAAAAATATTGCTAACATGAAAAAATGACACCAACAGGATTGTCCAAAAAAGCTTTAACAAAAATTGGATCATGCGTATTATGAATTCTAGTTAACAAGCATAAACATTTTTAGAGAAAAATAACGATTACCAAAACTAGATAACAATTGATAAATATTTCAATATAATAACAATAACAAGCAAAATATAAATATATTTGACAGACAAGACAAAAAAAAGAAAAAATGACAACAATATAATAACAGTGACGTAAACTAAGTGAACAATTTTAACAGTGCAATACAAAACAACAAACAAGGCAGCAAATTCCGGACAGTGAACTCAGGACAATTTCTCATCAACAACATAACAATAACAATAACAACTTAAACTATGATATTTTTAATGGCTTTCAGTTTGCAGGTGAACACATCAACATGTTGGCATGCTTGATTTCCAATTCTGTGGAGCCGTGGAATTGTACTATGGAAGGCGTAGTTTGTAGAAAAAGAAGCTTTGTTGAAGAGTTGAATGTGCCTGAAGTGTCGAGGAACGTGGAAATTAATTAGGCGAAGTATTTCTGGAGCATCAACTTCGCCGTTCAACAACTTCCAGAGGAAAGACAGGTCTGCAGATTGTCTACGGTCACTCAGTCGAGGAAGGCCCATATCGATGCGAATATCTTCAATCGGCACTGTATAGAATTCATGGCCCAACTTGACGCCAATAGAGCGAAGAAAGCGATTCTGAATTTTTTCTACTCTTGATATGTGGCTGATTTGATGTGGATTTACTAGATATTAGATATTACTAGATATTAATTAAATATCTATATCTGTACATTTTAAGCGGAGTCAATATTGTCATAGTCCAGTAACCAAGCTTACGTAAATGCAAAAATACCATTAGCTGCTTCTTCCACACAAAACAACTGTTACATTACAACACCACTTGCAACGTTGCCACTTCGAAGGCCGCGGTCTGGAGTTAAAGGCGGCCGTGCCCAGAGAGGGATTGATGATTGATCTAATTTCTGATTTCTCTCGATTCTCCGACTGCGACTGAGTGCGACTGTGCAGTCTGCACTGTCTGTCTGCTAGCCTCTCAAGCTCTCTCTGCTAATTAGGCTAATTGACGTACCATATAGCAGCTAGCCTAAATAATATTAATCTTAATCCATATCCTTCCTTTATGAATGATTTTTCAAGAATATATACTATGAATCCGCCGAGATGAGTTCGTGTGAAACATCAAACGTATTTTAACGTCAGGGATACTTGATACAAAATTTGGCGACATAGGCCTACAGGTAAATTATTCGACCGTTTCACTGCTTATTTTGTAGATGGTTACCTAATTTTAGTTTATGTAATAATAGAGATCATGTTGGTGCCTTGGATTTTCAAGCCTTCCTTTTATTAGGTAACTTATATCTGGTCTGAATAACTTACATCAATAATTATCTGTTCTCTCATTGTGATGTTGAAGTTGAATTAGCCTAGGGTTCAAAAAATTTGAGCTAACCCTGACAGCTAATTTTAATCACACAACAATAGGCCTAGTTCTAAAGTTTTTTTGTTGTGTGGATGACTGTTTTTACAGCGTAGTGGTATTAAGAATCTAACAATTAGGCTTGGCTAGATGGTGTAAAATACGTAGGCTAAGTCTCGAAAAAGGTTAAACTATCAACTTAACAGGCCTATTGCTTTTAAGGTAATTCTGAGCAATTACTTGGTTAACCCCAAACTTTTTCATATTTTACTACACTATGGTCGTAAGGATGTTCTCAAAAAACAATAAACATATAGCCTAATTCAAGCCCCGCAAGGCCATCGTACAGGTTGCCGAGCAATAAGAAGGTTCAAAGTCCACGCGATAACAGTGGCTTGCAGGAGACGAGCCGGAGGCCAGTTGTGACAGTACCGTTATGTTATGTTATGTTTTGTTAGGTTAGGTTCGGTTTTGAATTAACCTAACATAAAGGGTACTGGTACTGTCACAACTGGCCTGTTGTGAATGACCTATTTAACATAACGGTACTGTCAAAACAGGTTAGGTACCACTAACCTAACATAACGATACTGTCACAACTGGCCTTCCGCGCGTCTCCCGCAAGCCACTGTTACCGCGTCCGGACTTTGAACCTTCTTATCGCTCGGCAACCTGTAAATTACGATGGCTTTGCGGGGCTTGAATTATATGTTTCTTGTTAATAAGAAAAAGTGTTGGGGTTGATCAAGTAATTGCTCAGAATTACCGCTTTTATATTACCGGTAGCCTATTGTAAGTGGATCTAATAGGGGGTAGAGTTCTGTAATTGGCATTAACAACCAAATGAAAATATCGATTGTTTCATTTGATATATAGTTTGGTCTTAGTTAGGTATTACCTTACTATTAACCAAATCGATATAGGCTATCCATTTTCATTTGATTTTTTGTGCCAACAGATACGGAAGTCTACCCCTAATAGGTTTTATTTAGATGAGTCTGTGTCTCACTTAGATAGGCTATGCATTTTAATTGTTAACTCATTAGTTACGGTATTAAGTTAATCTCTCTCTAAGTAATTTTTATAAAAATATCATTTAGCAAATTTTATTCATTTACTGTAGCCGGGAATGTTGCTGGAAGTCAAATACAAGTTCAGTTTCGCTGAGTCAACAGTGCCGGAAGATCAAAAGCAATAAAAGTGAACGTCGATTCAGTGTAAAGTAGACCTCCTGCAACGCTTACTACACCAACAAAACTCGCTTTTAGTTACTTCGTGTTTTGTCATAATTAGAATAGAGCTAAAATTATCATATTTGGTACATAGCTTATCTATTAATGCTTCTTGCCAACTGTTTGGTCAACACTGTAAATAGGTATAGCCTTTCGTCAAAATTTGTGGCATAAAATACCCGCAAGGACGATCTGAAAATTTCTGGTTATTATATACGTTTGTAAAAGGAGATCCATTTAATTGTTGAACTATTTTATGAGTTATAATGTAGTCTACATATAAACTGTATAAATGTATTACGCCTCGGAAGGGTTGAAACATGTCCAAACTATCATATATATTATTAAAACGTAAATGGGGGTTTTTCACGATTCTGAATCAACCAGACGATGGATTTTCATTAGTTTTGTGTTGAAAGAAAGACAATTTTGAGAACTAGGGAATTTCAAAGCTATAATTTAAAATTAGTGTCCCAGTTTTTTATAAATTAAGTTTTAGTTTTTAAAAAGTCTAGCAGCCGATGCTAACCTTCTACAATAAGTCAATGCTTCTAGCTAGCTTTTAGTACAATATAATTTGCTTTCATGACAGCTGCAACATTCAGCATTTGTGACACAAATTCAGCATTTGGAAGAAAATTCAAATACATACTTATGGTTGGCTTATTTATACTATGTGTAATGCTGACCATTGATACATTTAATTCTTCGGTACGAGGATGGCAGATTAATTAAATATGCATAGTAAAATACAGTAGTAGGATGTTCAAATATTCTTTGTATTCTTTGTAATCATCGATTTGTTTTAGTCCAATATAATTTGTTTTAACTAACAGCTGGTTGAATGTGCTATGGCCTATACTTATAAAAGGCAAAGCCCTCACTGACACACTCACTCTCACTCACTCATCATCACTAATTCTCCTACTTCCCATTTACCTAGGAGGCTGAAATTCGATACACCGATTCATTGGGCATTAAATAGGAAAACTGAGTAATTTTTATTATGATAGGGCATTTGAGCTTCGCCCCAGTGGCTCTGGAGTTTCCCATGTTAACCTTATGATTTTTCATATTTAAAAGAAATTAATGAATCTTAACAGCTGTGTCAATTAAACAATTTATGACAACAGCTAATTTGCAACCAAAAGCTGAGTGAGCGTTTCGAACGAACTTCAACCTGGAGGCGAGTTAACCCCAAGGCAAGTGAGCTCAGTGAACGAGCTCCAACCTAAAGGTGAGTGAGCGTAGCGAACGAACTTCAACCAGGACGTGATTGAGCCATGCGAACGAGCTCATCTTGAAAATTAATTAGTTAAACGGGGCGAAGCCAGCGGGTACAGCTAGTTATTCTATAGAATTATTAGGTTTTTAGCGAATTTCGCATATAGGGAATAAGCTATTACCGTAGTACTCATGGCAACACCTGGACCCGGGACCGATGTAATTTTTCGTTTTGAGTCCCTAGAGGCCAAAAACACCATCCGTACAAATTCATATATATGCAAGTGTATAAGACATTTTGGGGACTTGACTTTTTCGGGTCTCAAGAATTTATACGAAAATACACTATTGCAATATTTTGAGGACTTGAATTTCCGTATGTGTATAAGACATTCTGGGCACTTGACTTTTTCGGGACTCGAGAATTTAGTACTTTTCGAGGACCTGTGCAAATTATTCCATTCCAAATGCAGCGCGTTATCGATCTTCACCCTTGTGTGGGCCTCCCATTCTATTCACTGACGGAATGTCTCGTGGCGTATGACGACCGGATATAAATAGTCACTTTACACTCACTTATCTCGTTATTTTTTCAGCATTTTCGTTGACCCGTCTGCAGGTCTTATGTTGACGGGCTGTCAGAGCGTCTGTTGCAATAACTGGAATTCCTTATGTATGTTTGCTGCTGATTACGGTGAAGTATTGTTAGAAATTCCACCTAATCTTTAAAGTTACCCATTAAATTCATAGAAATAATAATATTTAACTGTTTGACGAGTACCCCTATTGTATTCAAAATACTAAACGGCCCAACCTAATATTTAATACAAGCCAAAGGTGTCTTATAGATTCCGAGTAAATTATTATAAACTATCAAATGGAGCATGTAAAGTGCATTATAAATAATCAACAAAACCCCAACATAATTGACTATTGATTCAGTTACTGATTCGGGAATTACAATTGCTGATGATAACTGAATGCTCTGACCTGAAGCAGTGTTCTTCTTTACTTCTTTACCTATAAAACACATGGGATACAGCCTTTCTTCACTGATCACATAATGCGTGATTTTCTATTAAGTCTTGGAAAAATAAAAGGAAAAATAGATAGAATACAGGTGTACTGTATGTGGTTTACACACAAATATTCATCAAACTGTGTGATACTGTTATAGCAATGAACAATTTGAGAGTATCGTATTGTTCAAGTCGATGGAAAATCTCTGTTGATCCTGTTTTACAAGCAATCCAAAACGATACAGTAGTCACCACTCTATGCGACTTATTCCAACCAGAAAATTGTAATCGTATGATTCTATAAGCATTGGTAGGATTGCAAAGTACTACACAAACATTATTTCAAGGGTAATAACAGTCACAATTTCCGCTGACCTTAAAAGAGTCAACTAAACTATTATGGACACAACTAAATGGAACAACTAATGGAAATTCTCACGATGTACATTCGTTCGATATAAGCATTGAGTATACACGTCAGTACATACGTGTATACCCAATGATATAAGCAACGGTTCTTGCAATTTATTGCTTATTGTTTTTTAGAGTTGTTTTCGGACTTACTCTGTTTTCGGACTTACTCACACTCGTATAAGGTTTTCCACGTTTGTCATTGATAATGTAGCCATGTTGCTTTGAAATGGCGACCATACAAATGTATGCATTTTAAGCCAAGTATGAATGGAGATGAGTGTGGGATGAGTGGAGCGATCTTGTTGTCCTGTTTGTGACTAAGGCCGACATAATCCTTAGACACAGCTGTTAATTAATAGTGCATACAGTCAATTAATAGCAGCAGAGGTCAAGTTTGGTATCAAATTAAAGGTTTTATTCATAAAAATACATTGCCGCAAACCCAAACTCAAACGATGATGATGATAATAACGTTAATGATGTCGGTAAAACGTATCGTTTGAAATTTAACAGCTGAAAATAAGTGAAATAGAAAAGGTTTTGGTTAAATCCATCAAATTGTAATTGGACACTAGTAAATACTAGTGCACTTGTTGCTACCTCCCCCCTTCGGTTTCATGTATTCCTCTCAATCAGTTCAAACCTAGGAGGATTAAACATTAATGTTACCTAATTAATGTTAAATCCTCCTAGATTCAAACCTGAAACATCCAGATCGAAACTCGCCTGTCGTTATTTTACCATCCGCCTTTTTTTAAATATATTTTTCAAAAAAGAAAGATTATATTGATTTACTTTGGATTTTAAAAATGATAACGTTTTATTTTGTTAAAGATTTATGGTGATACGTAAATATTGTGGTGTAGTAAAGTATATTATATTGTAGTTAAGTGTTAAATTTTTAAATTTTAGGGTGAATCGAGATGAATCTTTTTTTATAACATGGGTCTCTCCTACCTTAACATACATACCAAGTTTCATAAACATCGGTTGGAAAAGTGCAAAGATAAATATTTGTATGTAAAAAATACAAAATGGTGGATATCTGGTTAACGAAACGATTTCGGAAAAAATGTTATCCTTGATTTTCTGTTTATTTTGACCCAAGGAATTACTAGGTAAAGTATGTCCCCACTTATTTTTAACACCCTGTTTATGATGTATTCTTATAAGTGAAAAATGTAAGCTGGTAATACAGAAAGATGTTTTATAAATAATATGAATGTACTGGTGATCTGTATATTCATCTTTTTCTTGTTCTTAGAACTGTAAATTAAAAGTCCACTCAGCAGTCGCATCGTACGATGTAGTTCTTTCCATGCGTTGCGAAATGCTAAATTTGCCGTCCTCTTCAACCCAAGTTATCTATTGAACCACTGATAGTAAAAAATTCAAAAAAAATATATTTTACGCATCACACTTTTGGCTACAACTTTGCCACAGACAAAACCTCTCTAACCCAAAAACAAAAAAAAATCTCGCATGCTAACTTTTTCATGTTAGAAATCACGTATTTCACCATACATATCAATTTTTATTAATTAGATCGGTAAATAGTTTAAAGTTCCAACAAAATAGTCATCGAGTAGGACTAACCAAGAAGCTCTGTGCCAATTTTCAAAATTTTAGCACAACTTTAAGTACACCAAAACACAAAATTATTGAAGTCATGCGTCGAGAGGACTATCGTTGTTTTTAACAGATTATACTTTTGACCTTCCGGCACTGTTGACTCAGCGAGACTGAACTTATATTTTATCTTATTTCGTTATATTAAAACTGCTGTTGCATTAGGTCAAATTCCCAATAAGTCAATTGCTTTAACATAGACCACGTTTTTAGCTCGGACTGTATTATTTGACTTACTGGGACTTTTGATCTACAGACACTGCAAACATTGTAGTTTTTGACCTAGCGGCACAGGTATAAATTATTTGATCTTCCGGGACTGTTGACTTTCTGCAACGCGTCCCTGTAGCCTACGTTAGCCTTATTTAGGCTGTCCACATACGTAGTTCAATCCTTCTCAAATCATACTGTAGGCCTAGGCCAACAGTAAACAAGTCAGGGATTTTGCGGTTTTGTGGCTAGACACATCTGATAAGTCTGCAAGTTCTGTGTTAGGTTAGTGTTCTGAAGATAGGTTGGATTAGGAAAGTGAGGTGTAGTTAACCCTTAGAGTGCCAGGCGAGAAATAAAAGTAACGCTCAAAAAATGCCGATGATTTTTCCCGAAGGTCGCGCTAAAAATGCCGAGCGCGATCTGACGATTTTTAGGTTAAAATTTCGTAAAAATCGAATTTTCGATATTTCGACCAACGAAAATCGATGTATCGCATCTAGTAACTTTCGACTCAATGTTAATATATGGGTTAAAAGAATCCGAGTATCCATTCGGTTGTTATGACAACTGTTCGATCATTACGAAACGTCCGGTCAGCCGGACGTTGGTACTTTTGGCTCGTTCTAAAAACGTCCGGTCGGCCGGACGTCGGCACTTTTGGCTCGTTTTAAAAACGTCCGGGGGGGTTAACCGGGTTGTTTGTTTATGTTACATCCATACTGTACTCTTTTCCTGCTAGGTACTGGAAAACTTAGTGGGTTAGGCCTAAGTTAAGCTAGGCCTATACAAAAAGTACGATTTCGAAAATTATTACAACTCAATTTTTAGACAGGGTCTTAGACTTACCGTATCAAACAATTTAAAATGTGGTCATTAGGTAGTTAACATCTTTGCTAGCCTAAATTAAACTTAGCTAAAACAATCAGCTGTTTTAATTCTTAGTAAAACCCAATGAGCAAGAATATTTATTTGTTTCTTAAATTTGTTTACCTACAGCCGTTTCAAAAGTAAGTCGCTGTTTTGAAACTAAACTTGATTTAAACAAATAAGTTAGGCCTAATATTTTTTCCCAAAATAGGTCTTTCTGTTATCAATCCATGCACCAAATTTTAATTCACGATAAAAAGCAGTTTAGGCCTACGGTACAAATAAAAATAATTTTTGTAAAAGAACAAAATGGCCTTTGTATTTTGGGAATTGGCCTTGGAAATTTGAACGTGATATAGTCCATTTTAGTTTGTCCTTGTCCAGGAATGAAACATTAATTCGGTACAGAGTTCAGGGAAACTGTGTATAAGTGTATTGTTATAGGGTGTGTTTAGGTTATTTAAATATAACTTATTAACTTACACAAGAGTAGGCCCCACAATGCTTAAACAATTAAAATTGATGTAAATCCGTTGGCAAATAAATAAATAAAGTATTATAAGATTGACTGGTAAGGTAGATAGACTACTAAATTTTAAATGGCATTATGAATTTCCTTTTAATTTTTTACATAGCTGATTTCAGTTAGTAACTTTTTGGACAAAGCTAGATGATTAAATACAAATAAAATACTTGTTTTAGAATTAGGTAGGTACTTAGGCCTACCTACGGTTTTACAATTAGACACCAATTAATTAACATTGTGTTCAAAAGAAGCAATACGGTTTAAAATTGGTAGGCACTGTAATTTAATTAACTTTATAGCTGCATGATGTTACCAAACTGTTATTGTTTTTCTTTCATACCGTATGAGATTTAAAATAACTTACTTCATCACCCATTACTAAGACTTTGCCTACTGTACCTACTGTAATGCTTTTTGATTGCTACTTTAATCAAAGCATATTTTGTTTGAAAATGGCTGTTTTTTACACTTTTGTTTATTTTATCATTTAATATTTGTTTTGTGTTGTTTCAGTCTGCATGAATCAACCCCACATTTAATTTTCAAGCCAGTAGTTCACCATGATCTTGGTACATAGACTTTCGTTTGCCTGTAGAACTAACAAATTCCCTATGAAAGTGCTGTGGTTGCCAGGTAAGGCAGAAGTTTTACCTCTTGGAAGAACAAGCTGTGCACCACTGCTCATTTGTAAACAGTGTGTTCAAAAGTTTTCTACATCAGTTTCATCACAAACTTATAAGTTTTCACCCTTTTCGAGAGTGTTTTTTAGTGGAGTACGACCAGTATTACGATGTGCTAAAAGAACAAATTCCTCCAAAGTGAATAGTGTAACAAATAAGAATATTTCCAAAGGAACTGATAAAATACAACCTGCCAAAATCAGTAAACAGGAGTTTAAGAGGCTTCTCGGCCTAGCCAAACCCGAGAGATGGAAATTAGTTGGTAAGTAAGCTAAAAGTGTATTGTCTGTTATGGTGTTATAATTTTACTAACAACAATACTGTACCCGTGCCTTGATACCAGTCATTATGAACATTAGATTATGTTGGTTCTTTGAAAATGGCTTAAAAATGATTTCACACCTCCCATTTAATTTAGAAACTAAATTGAACTGTGTATCAATTAACTTGATAGTAGTACACTTTTGTTAACTCAGACTGTGAACACTTATTTAGGCCTAGGATACAAAATCAATGATAGGCCTATAGATTTTAAGGTATAGCCTAATCAAATAAAATGTTAAATGGTTTGTACTGTAAACGAAAAGCTATCACAATAGTTCCAAACCTGTCAATAGTGTAATTTTAAGTGAAATATATTTTTCCTAGATATGAGTAGGTAGGCCTACACAAATGGATAAAATACAAGTAAAGTTCACTGAAAGGCAAAACATACAAGTTTTTTAAAAACAATTTTGGACAACTTTTATAGGCTATTATCTTTGTCTGTCTGTTTAGGTGCCATAGCGCTACTGCTTGTTTCAAGTACAGTTACAATGTCAGTGCCATTCGCTCTTGGAAAAGTAATCGACATCATTTACACAGAAGACTCAGAACAAATGAAGAAAAATCTGAATACTCTTTGTCTAACTTTACTAGGAGTCTTTATTCTTGGTGGGCTTTGTAATTTTGGAAGAGTCTACCTAATGAATTTATCTGGTGAGTCAATTTTATTTTAACCGACTTCTCCACTACCAACAAAAGGAGGAGGTTCTCAATTTGTTTATGGCAATGTTTTTTTTTCTATGTTTGTTCACCAATTTCTCTGTGATTCTTTTTGCGGATTAGGGTGGTTCCACCACCAAAATATCAGGAGAGTTTCTATTTGTACCATATATATATATTATGTTTAAGTGTAATATTTTGTTTCGGTGAAAAACGCTGAAAACCACAAATGCACAAATATTCAACATTTTGTTTGTATTTGTGCAGAGAAGGCAATAAATAGGCTAATAATAATATTCCTACAGCTGTTAGTTAAAACCATTTAAATGAAGCTACAGACAGTTCTTCATGAAACATTTGCTTCATATTTCTTGCCATGGAGCCTACATAAAATACATTGAAAAAAAGGCATTTTGTTTTGGCATTTTTTTTTGGAATAAAGAAGGTATTTCAACGTAACTGATTTGTGTATAATTTGTGTTTTTAGTTTTGAATATTCTGACATATAAAAACATAGTGAATAGCTGTATGATAGGCCTATTGACAAAGAAAAATGTGTTGTGAATACCAAAGCATTTGTAAAAGGGGTCCAAATATAAATTAAAAGCAATTATTCTTTACATGACCTAAGAAGTGTGAGAGTGCATAATCGTCAATCGTCTTAAAAGTGTTAAATATTTTAATTACTAAACATGACTTTGCAGATGTGGAATGTTTATATACAGGGCGATTGAAAAGTCTGGGTACGGCTTAATATTTTAAAAAATAATGCAGATAGAGCTAAAATACTTGGTACAAAGTTACAGGGCATAAAAATCTATTTTAACACATATTCAGTCATTCAATAACTCTTCAGGGGGACGTCCCACAAGGAGTCAGAAGAAAATCTTAAATGGAAGCATATAATATAATGGAAGCAATATGCACATCAAATTAAAGGTCTTTTTTAGTAGAATACATTGCCGCAAACTGCACTTTAAAAGGTTGATCCTACGCAAAATGGCAGATGTTCAAAGATTTCTTGAATCCGCCATTTTGAATCTTTGAACGGCTGCCATTTTTTATTCAGGCATTCTTTTGAGCTTGAATTTACGGCATCGTAATCTAAAAGTGAAGACCTTTAATTTGATGTGCATATCGACCTATTCTTACGTTAACAATTTTCTTCCGATTCCTAGGGCTGTGCCCCCTGAGGAGAAAGCGTATAATAGCAATGTAAATATAAATGAATCTTTGAACAACTGTCATTTTTGCGCAGGATCAACCTTTTGAAGGGCGGTTTGCGGCATTGTATTCTACTAAAAAAGACCTTTAATTTGATGTGCATATTGACCTATGCTTCCATTTAAGATTTTCTTCTGACTCCTGGCGGGCCGTTTCCCTGAGGAGGTAGTGGATCACTGGATATGTGTTAAGATAGATTTATATGCCTTATAACTTGATTCCAAGTTTTGTAGGTCTACGTTTATTATTTTTCAAAATATTAAGCCGTACCCAGACTTTTCAATCACCCTGTATATTCTCCACCCATGTACTTTATCATGTCAATACTATTATGCCTGTAAAAAAAAATCTTTAATGTAAAGACCAATCTTGTGACCCCTCATTTTAAACGTCTTAATTAGTAGAATACAATGCCTCAAATTTGAACTCAAATGGATTCAACCGAGTTGAAAATGGCAGCCGTTCAAAGGTATCTTTAATCTGTCATTTTGAATATTTGAACAGCTGCAATTTTTTACTCAGTTGTTCTATTGAGCTCAAATTTGTGGCTTTGTATTCTACTAATTAAGACCTTTAATTTAACATGCATATTGACCTATCCATATATTTATGATTTTAAAACATAATTCAGTTATGTGGTACCGTACCTCCTCAGGTAAGGGGGTGTTCCGCATACCATTTACACCATTGACACCATATATATAGGTACCTAATATATAAACATATTAGGCATTCTCAGCATAAAACCACAAAAAGTATTGTTTTGATTTGGCCCTTGAATTTAATTTTCAAGTACGATACCATAAGCAAATGAAATATGTAACATTTTCAGTATCTATTGATGAGTTGGAGGTTACAAAAGCATGATTACAAAATAGAAATATTACTTTCCAGGACAAAGAATCACCAGGGCACTCAGAGAGAGAGTTTTTGGTTCAATAGTTCAACAGGAAGTTGCCTTTTTCGATCAAAATCGCACAGGAGAGCTGATTAACAGGTTGTCTACTGATACGTCAGTGGTCAGTGATTGTGTCACCATGAACATCTCGGACGGACTGAGGTCTACAGTCATGGTCTGCGCTGGCGTTTCCATGATGGTCAGTAATTTTGTTTTGGGTCTTTTCATACATATCCTCCAAGTCACCATAGTTGAAATATACAAATTTTACTTGCCAACCAACTCAGATTTCATTCAAATGTAAAATACAATTGTTTTGGAGTATTTTCTAAGCTCTTTAAAAAAATATGTGACACTAGGAGTACTTGATCCTCAAAACGGCACACGGAAGATTTCTCAGGTGCCGTTTGATGTCACTAACTGCTGACGTCACTTTGAGGGAACACCAATACCGCAACGATACGGTTTTGAGCCATCGGCCTCGGTGGTGTAGTGGATACACTCTCAGTCAACTGTAGCAAATATATTATTCTTTAAACATAAAAAATTCCAGTAATTATTACATGTTTGAACATTACATCTTCAATTGTATTTGTAAAGAAATTTGCTATAGCCTGCTAAAACAGTGTAGCATTTTAAAGTTGTTTATAGCAAAATGCTAAAAATGCTACCACAGCTTAAACTCTGGGTATGCTGTATAAAGAATGTATACCTTTTGTTTATCTAAAGATTATTTGTTATTCCTGCAAAATTTCTGTTGGAAAGAAAAGATTGAGTAGGCCTAGTGTAAAAGATTTTAAATTTTGAAAAGGATGTTTTAGCAGACATTAGATATAATTTTGTTGCCTAAGTTTATATAGGCTACCAGTGAGTCTTAAAGTAAGAAAATAATTTGTATTGAGCACAATTTAATACAAGAGCTTTGGTTGAGCACAAATACTAAACAATTTAAAATGTATTTACTGTTTTATACTACCACATTATGTTTGTATTTCAGTTTTACATGTCGACAGAACTCGCCTTAGTTGGACTTGCCATTGTGCCTCCGATTGCTGCAATGGCCATTGTGTATGGACGATTCGTTAGGAAAATCACAAAAAATGTACAGGTAAGTTCACAATAGACACATTTCAATGAGGTTGATTGAGTTTAAATAAGTTTAACGAGAGGGAGTCTTTTTTACTGCTACTTGTCACCTTATAGTGACAAATGTATGGGAAAATTGATGAAACAAACATTAGAAGGTGATTTCAAGGGTCTGACTTAAGGGAGGTACAAATGAGGCAACGATGACATCATAGTTTAGTTCAAAATTCCTCCGTTAACAGCGTTGTAGTAGAGAGCACAGCGCGTAATTTTACTTCACTATTAGGCCTAGTTAATTATAAAATTAAGAAAAATTATAAAATTAATGTTAAAATTTTTCAATTATTAAATTAAACTGTTATAACCTAACCAAACTAACCAAACGTGCTGATAATGAAAATATTGAATGAAGGTTTACTAATATAAATGTAGTTTTGTTCATAAAATGAAATTATAAATGCCTAAAATTCAATTCTATAATTTTTTAATTATAAAATTAAACTGTCATAACCTAACCAAACCAACCAAACTTGCTGATATGAAAAATTTGTTGACAAAAAGTTAGTGCTGCCAGCGGGATTCGAACCCGGCACCTTCGGATTATCAGCCCGACGCGTAGACCATCACACCACCGAATCCGATGACTGAATTCCGTATCGTTGCGGTAATGGTGTTCCCACAAGAGGAGATCTGACAGCTGACGTCATCGAAGGCTCTTCTGTACCTCCCTTGAGTAAATACCCGATTTCAACATCTTCACTTTGATTTAGGACTCGCTGGCAGAAGCAACACAAGTGGCTGAAGAGAGGATCGGTAACATTAGAACTGTGAAGGCCTTCAGTCAGGAGGAGAGAGAGATGCTGACGTACTCAGACAGGATGCAACATGTCCTGGACCTGGCTACTAAGGAGGCACTGGCTCGGGGGATCTTCTACGGGTTGGTAAGTTTAACACAATCTGCAGTCGTACAGTCAATACTTGTGAAAATTTGTCAATTACTCAAATGTACCGGCTCCAGCTTACCAGTCAGTGCCAGAAGTTTGATTGGTTTTAGTGTTTGTTGTTTACTCGTATCAAAAATTATTTTTGGTGTAAGTGATAGTAGTAAAGAATCAAGTATATTGCAAAAAAATACAAAATGTACATTTTGTATATTTGAAGTCAATTACATGAATAGGCTAAGAAATCTCAAAGCTCCCCATACCAGTAAAATGACCAGTGGGTAGCCTACTAAATAGGTCATATACGATTCAATACAATGATGATTTTTAATTCCTAAGGATTCCATAAAATATTAATTTCCAAGATTCAGTTTCATGAATCTGATAAACGTTGCAGTCACATGTATTCATGATATTATTTCAGGGTCAGGGGTCCAATTTCTTTCAGTAAACCTTTTATAATTAGGCATACCTGTATTTTTCTAACTTAAACTGTGCAAGTTTCACGTTTTGGGTTTTGAGATTATAGATTCCGTATTTGATTTTTGATTTCGACATTCAACCATCACTAGTTTTATTTAGTTTAATACCCGTTTTGGATTTTGAGATTATAGATTCCGTATTTGATTTTTTGGTTTTGACCTTCTAAACTTATAGTTATAAACATCACTAGTTTTATTTAGTTTAATACACCTTCCTTCAACCAACCATTCATTTTCTCAACCAATGGCATTGTGAAGTGTATTTGTCCTCATTTGTAATACTGTATTCATGATTTGTACAGACAGGACTCAGTGGCAATGTAATCATCTTGTCAGTGTTGTACTACGGAGGAGTGATGGTCAGCGACGCACATATCACTGTGGGTAGTCTGTCGTCGTTCCTGCTGTACGCAGCCTATGTCGGAGTCTCACTCGGAGGATTGTCCAGCTTCTACTCAGAGCTGAACCGGGGCCTCGGCGCCAGCACTAGACTGTGGGACCTAATAGACAGAGTACCCTCCATACCGTACAAAGGTGAGTTGGTGATTTAGTAGAACAGTACGGAAGTGGAATTTCAAAAAATGTCTGGTTTTATAAGCATATTTGTTAAGTGTCCACGGTTCGATCACCTATGGAAATTGTGCTTGAATCAGCTTAAGAGTGTCAGCAAGTTTTTATAGAAATTATATGGGAACATGGCCAAAAAATCAGGAATTTTGTATTTTTTAAATAAAACATGTACAGTAAGACTTCAACTATTCGAACTTCGGTCGTTTGGAGACTAATCCAAACAGAAAATGTTAACTTATCAAGAAATATTAGGTTCATTGCAGTTTTGTCCATTTTGCAATGATTCGTTACATTGGTATTTTAATTCTAACAAGCTGCTATACCCGTGCTTTGCAACGGGTAGAAAATGTTACTTAGAGAGCTATTAAAGTGGTGCTGATGTGTGTTTTAAATACAGCAACTCTCAGATTTAGTTTAAAAATAGAAACTGATTTAAAAGGGTAAACCTACTTACTTTTAAACCCCTACTTTTAATGTTAATAGATCCAAAAGGATATGACAACATACCTTAGTGTAGCAATAGCATCAATTAATTGCTTCATATTGAAACGTATACCTTTCTTTAAAACCAAACATAACCCTCCTCAATCTACATAAAGCGTCACAAACATCTATTTTGAGTAAATAAACAAACACCAGTTCATTGTACTGACCAGCTGTTTCATTAACTAAATTAAATTAAATAATTTAAACTTTGGAAGCATGCCAGGTGTAGCCCTTTGGAAATCAGCCTGTGGGGCAGAGCCCTTAGGATATTCGTCCATATCAATACTTTTCGGCAAAACTACTCACTCTAAGCTTAATTTTGATGTGCCATATGCCTATATTTTTATTTGGTAAATTACCTTAACCGTTTACATAAAATTTGATGTTATCACTTTAATAATATAATAGATTGTGTCCGGATAATGGAAGCGAGTATTGTGTCGTATCGATCAACAGGCGTAAATTCATATGCTTGGTTCCACAATTTTATTTAGGTTTCAATTTTTTCTTTAAAAATCTAGTTTTTATCATCCATACTGCGTTTGGTCGTTCGGTCTCAATTAATTCTTCTGCTGTAATGGAATGACTGCTAACTACTTAAGAAATTCTCATTTCAGGTTATTTGTTGAAAACTACTAATCTCACCAGACAACACCAATGTTTGTAAATCCTGTCTTGATGCTACTAACTCCACTGAAAAAGAACAATAGCCTAAAATACACTGTAAAACCCAATAGATTTTTATTAATAGGCCTATGCTACATTGTAAAAGGTTCTGATAGATAGACTGAGTAAAGTGCTAAAGTTGATTTTCTGTTAGAAATAGATTTAATTTTTTTTTACTTTAAAAAGCCGTTGGATATATTTTATGTCTGGAAATCCTGAGATAGAATGAGAAGTTTTACTGTATTATTGTTTTACATATCAGGTTAAATAGTTTCCATCGTGAAAAGTGCACCATATTGTATTGAATCATACAACCGTAATGTAACACCTGTTTTGCGATAGGGGGACTGGTACTGCCAGACCCACCGAAGGGGAACGTGGTGTTTGACAACGTAAGGTTCAGCTACCCTGCACGGCCTGATGCTCCCATACTGCAGGACCTACATCTCAGTATTCCAAGTGGAAAGATCACGGCAGTTGTAAGCTTTAATTTAACCTTATTTTCTCTATGTTGACTTAATCAACTATTGGCTCATCTTATTGCTAGGTTATTAACTTGTAACCTAAGATTATGTAATCTTGACTTTTTGAATACTGAAGTATACACCCCACATGGATCATCTGTAGTTAAATTTGCTTAAACAACAGGGTTGAATGAGTTACTCACAGATTGTGCTGAAATGTAAAATTCAGCACAATCTGTTCATTCATCATTGTTTAGTTTACCCATTGTTTTCGTTACTATTACTGTTGACATGCATAAAATATACTAGTTTACAATAATTTGTCGTTTAAGTTAGCCTGGTAATTTAAAAGTTTGTGTATTCGACATTCGACAGCAATAGGTTATTGACATTGGCACATTCTGTAGGTGCCTCAATTCAGCCATGTTAATTTCTATCCTGAAACTGGCAACCACATTAAAGAGATGTTAATTTTTAGTCACCTACCTTTATTAGTGTATGATATACTCTTGTACACTATGTACTGTTGTTAATGTTTCTGTAATGTTTTTAAATGTATCTATCAAGGGAAATGCTCCAACAGAGTCCTAGGATTGAATGAGCTTATGTTGTCAGGTTGGCTCAAGTGGCAGTGGCAAGTCAACATTGGCAGCCCTGTTGTTGCGATTGTACGACCCTCAGCAAGGCAATGTACTGTTGGATGGTGTGCCTGTCAGCAAATACGACCCTGCTTGGCTACGATCCCACATCGGCGCTGTTAGTCAGGTAGCACACAAACACATCAATGTTTACCATACCTTCCATATATTATTACTAGCTGGCCCGACAGACGTCGTCTTGTCCTAATGTGGTTTTATGTCAAATGCTCGTTCATTTTCAAGATGAGCTTGTTCGCATGGCTCAATCACGTCCTGGTTGAAGTTTGTTCGCTACGCTCACTCACTTTTAGGTTCGAGCTCGTTCGCTGCACTCACTTGCCTTCAGGTTAGCTCGTTCGCTACGCTAACTCGCCATTATAATTTTTGGTTGCAAATTAGCTGTTGTCATAAATTAAAAAAAATAATAGTGCTGCACCCTGTTGGTAAACCTATTAAATTTTTAATGCTATTGAACATCACAGAATCAAATTGTTTAGTTGAACCAGCTGTTAAGATTCTTTAATTCCATTTAAATATGTTTACTCATAAGGTTAACATGGCAAACTCCAGAGCCACTGGGGCGGAGCCCTTTTGGCGGATCTGCACCAAACTTCACACAAACCATCCTTGAATAATGCTTAATAATGCCTGAAAGTTGCATTACAATCTGTCGAGCGGTTTCGGAGTCCATAAAGGACAAACAAACAAACAAGCAAACAAACATACATACATTGGATTTTATATATATAGATATATCCATATAATATAGCAGTATTTATGTACAGACCAAGTTCCTTATTGTCTCAATGCATGACAAATTTTTCATTATTAATGTAAGTGAACAAGATTTAAGATAAATACAACAAAATAAATACAGTAGACTACCTCTTGTTTAGAAGACATAACCTCTTTGGCAGTATTAAAAAAGTGCAGGGTAGTATATACAAAAATGAATGGGTGATTTCAAAACCACAGAGAATTAGGATTAAATGTATTTCAAAGAGTAGAACATTGAAAGCTCAATTCTGTGCACGACTAGCTTGTTCACTATAACAAGACCATACTCCCTAGTACCCTAGTAGTACAAAGTACAATAGGAACCTGTCAATAATTGGAACATTTGTTTCAGGAGCCTGTGTTGTTTTCGGGCACAATAAGAGACAATATTATATATGGAGCTGAACATCCTCAAGCTGTTTCGGATAATCAGGTAAATTACCCAATCAATCAAGAAAATTATTTAACACAATTTCCAATACATAGTTTATAAACATGGATAAACCAAAATATTGTTTGCAAAAATTGTTACTTATAATACTTTACAATTCAATTTAAACAAGACAATAATGATGGAGTTTCACTTCTCCAAGAGAAGAGACTGGTGTAGCCTACATGTAGTACTCATGTGTGTACCTGATGGTAATATCTTGTGAAAGTACATGTACCAAGAACATAAAAATAATAAGAATGTTGTAATATTGGTAGCACAAAAAAATTGTTCATTAAGTACTGTCATAGATAAAACATACTCCCTTAGTAGATTAGTCATCCTAATGGAACAGCTGAAGCCAATTTTATGGTTTGTTCTGTACGTCCAACTATAGAGGTTATGTTTTGTTCCCAATTTGTTTCCTGTTATTGCAGTCATTTAAAACCTCGTTTAACCTAATAAAACGATATAATCATAAACAATAACTGGTCTCCTAGTTATATAACCAAATAGTTTTGGTTGAATAGTGTACGTCTGGGGAAGATGGACACACCACCATGTACGCAGATGACACGGTTCTCACATTTGCGGACAAAACAATGGAAAATCTGGAAGAGAAAACCAACACACAACTCCAGAGAACAAAGCAATACTGTACCTCCAACGACCTAGTTCTAAACGAAAGCAAAACCGTTCAAATGACTTTCACCACCAAACGCAACAACACAGACATTACAATACCGGGACTACAAACACAAAATACCTAGGCATCATAATTGACTCCAAGCTATCATGGAAACCCCACATAGACCAGCTCTGCAAAAAACTAAGTTCAAGTCTCTACGTTATACGTAGGATCAAGCAAGCTTGCAGCCCAGAAGTAGCCAAAGTTGCATATTTTGCTCTATTCGAGTCCCACCTCAGATATGGCATTGCGACTTGGGGTGGAACATCAAAAGGCAACCTGGAAAGAGTACTCCTAAAGCAAAAAAGAGCAATTAGATGCCTTGCCGACCTGAACTACAGAGACAGTTGCCGAGAAGCCTTCAAGAACCTTAAAATTCTCACATCAATTTCACTCTACATAAGAGAAGTCATTATCCACACCACTAAAACAGCCCAGCCAAGACACAGAGACATACACCAGCACAACACACGACATGCCGCCAATTTTTCCCTCCCACAACACCATCTGAGTCTGTACGAGAAGAAACCATCCTACAAAGGTGCTCTGTACTTTAACAACCTACCAGAGCACCTCAAGAGAGAACAACCCAATCTGCTCAAGAAGCACCTGACAACATGGCTTATGGACCGGCCGTTCTACTCTGAGGATGAATTCTTAAACAATAAGCTACCATGAAAAAAAAAGAAAAAGAAGAAAAAATTCTAATTGTAATTGCAAATTACTGTTAATAGTTTCCGTACATACTGTACATTTTATGTACCTGACGCATGAATGTTCTCTAGGAATATTTCAATAAAGAATTTGTCTATTGTCTATTGTCTATTGTCTATAGTAAAGCACAAATCATGAAAATAACCCTAAAATAATAGGAACAAAATGTTGTCTACACTAGCGATCAGTGTGGACGTACATGAACTAGACGCAAAAAACAAGCTTCAAAATTTACAATGGGATGAGGAGTCTACTTGTGTTGCTTAGTCTATAGTACTGTTAACTGCAGTAAGATTATGAAGATGAATGTTCTGATTTGGATTTTATGTAGATTATTTTTGTATAAAACTTATTATGCACTAAACCACAAAGTCCTCCAAATATTATATCAACTCTGCAATTTGTTTACTTTTTCCCTCCCCCCACCCAATTACCATTACCTCACAGTACCATATTTATTCTCAGCCTCTCTCCCTCGGCTCCGCCCATTTATCCAATTAGTCTTAGTTAAAAAAATATATTCACTGTTCCGCCTGGAAAAAGAGTCACTTTCAATAGTTTCAATATCTATATGACTTAATCATATTATACGAAAAGAAGAACTGAGATTGTGTGCGATTTTTAACAGTGAACCAAGATCTTATACTACCCAATGTTGATTTCTCTGGTACTTTTTTCATGTTTCCAGGTGGAATGGGCTTCTCGGGAGGCTAACGCTTACAACTTCATCACGAGAGACTTCCCCGCAGGGTTCGACACCAAGGTTGGGGAAAGAGGGTTAATGTTGTCTGGAGGCCAGAAGCAGAGAGTTGCGATAGCGAGGGCTCTGATCAAGGTAAGGTTTGAGATCCAAGTAAAACTAGTATGAATCTTTTATCTATAGTAGCAAGCTAGTCTAGTGGTAGAGCACGAAAATTCTGTCCCTTAGGTCCTGGATTTAAACACCCTGCCAATTATTAAAGGATTTTCATCTATCAGTTTTGTAAAAATTTCTTTTCAGTTGTTCCTGGGTCAGTTTTTAACTCCTCTCCCCTCCATTTTCTCTTTCATCTCATCTATTCATCTTCTTATAGGTCTTCCTCTATATATCATCCTATTTATCATCACCCTTTCCACTTTTCTAGGTTCTCTTGCAATTTTCCCATATGCCATATGTCCAATCCATCTGTCTTACCTCAAATGAAAACTATCTTTTGTGAGTCAGTAGCTCGACGGACTATGGATCCAATGCAGGGATTTTGTGAGTTTGTCTCCACTAAAATTGTTCAGTTCAGTTCACCTTCTTTGCGCTAAAGGCATAGGTTTTTTAATATTCCATTAAGCAAACACAACGATCAAAATGGTGTCGAAATTTTTATTTACCAAATATTGTATTGAGTGTTACTTAACAATTTGTGGGGTCCAAAGTGAGCTTCTAGAGGTTTGAGGTTAAACTGGTGTGTATCTGATTGATACCCTTAAAATATTGCACCTATAACAATTGCTAAGCACAAGATAGTGGAGTTAGGCTTTTAAGGTTTTCACCTTTGAAACAGCCAACAGGCTTATGTTTATATTTTATTTACAATTTATATTTTTAAACTTTTTCAGAACCCAAGAATCTTACTTTTGGATGAAGCGACAAGGTAAGTTTCTATTGTTAAACTAATTTAGTGGTTGATATATCAATGTAAACTAAGCAATTATAGAGTTTGATCTTTAAATTAATAAATTCTAAAGGAAAGCCAAGTAGCTGATAGTGATTTTTTTTTGGAGGGGAATGGAGTTCAGATAGCTTATCTGAGAAAGTTTGAGTCCAGGGGCTTATAATAGATAAGTCACAAAAGCTCTACCAACACTTCACGTCAACCTACTCTCTGGATAGTCTCTCGACATGCTCTCCTATATTATAGTCTGTATGATGGAATCTGTCTCCTGACCCTTCGTATACCTGAGACTGACCCGGGCCTTAAACCATTGGCATCTTCCCCTAAAACCACCTAAATATTGTGAACGAAGTGTTGCTGGAGATTCAGGAGACAGGTTACATCACACAGACTATAGGACAAAATATCAGTTTTGTGACTATTGTGTATGTGTTTCCAACTTTTTAGGTAAGCTAGCTGAACTATATGCCTTTCTCCAAAAATCCTAAGAGAAAACCAATAAGTCTTGTAGTTTATTGTAGAAAAAAATTAATACGGTAAAAGTAAAAATATAAATTTTTAGTGCCCTGGATGCAGAGAGTGAGCACTTAGTACAAGAGGCCTTGGACAGGATCATGAAAGGACGAACAGTGCTGACAATCGCCCACCGGCTGTCCACCATCAAGAATGCAGGTGTGTATACAGGGTGTTCAAAAAAGGTGGGGACATAACTTACGTGGTGATTCCTTGAGTCAAAACAAAGAGAAAATCAAGAATAACATTTTTTCCAAAATCGCTTCGTTGCCGGATATCAATTTCTCTAGAATGATTGTTAATGGGTGTAAATTTATATCATTTAGAAACTTTCTGCCTTGTATTGAAAACTATCAAACAACTTTTGTCAAGTCAGAACGACAGACCCAAGTACTCTATGAGTCAATATGATTTATTATTAATTGGATGCTGATTTAAGTTTACATTTTATTTCATTACATATTTTGTTTGTTAAGAAGCAGCTGAAATTTTGCTTGGTTCTTAGAGTTGCGTTTGAGTGAGATCCTCAATAAAGGCAATGATGTTAAGAATAATGTAGAGGCCCCTACCGTATCGTAGTCAGTCAAGTTCTTTTTAACAGAATGACAGTCTTTCTCTTATCCATAACCATCTAGATAGTAGGTCTACTTGGTTAATTCCATAGTAATTAGTAATGTATGCCTTGTTTTCTCAGATCAAATAGCCGTGTTGTCGGAGGGAAGAGTTGTGGAGATCGGATCTTACGAACAACTCATGGCCGAGCCTGAAGGTGCTTTTCAGAAACTCGTCAGACACCAAACGTTCCAAGCTTAACCACTTGGAAGCCTTTTTGTACAAATCATTGTTTTTGTTATTGTTTTGAATGCTTTATAGTTTATTGAAATTTTAATAGAATCGCATATACATTTTAACTGCCGAAATATACTATTTATTGCCAAGATATGAATGTTTTAATTTTCCTTTAGTTAATGACACGATGCCTAGGACCGGGGTACTTTTAACAGTTTCTGAAATGTTATAGAAAAAATGTTTTAGCAGGAATGGCGAGGATAGCACAAGCCATGCAGCCCTCTTTCACATTTCTTGCATGATTGCTGTTCTTGATTTTTTTTATAATAGTTTGTTTTAACTTTTTTTTATATATTTGGAAGTTTTTTTTTCAAAATGGTCTCCTAAGGTTTAAAAATGTATAGTGTATCCAACATACTAAGATGTATCAGGGGCCCTACTTTTTAAATAGTTGACTGTCGAGTTGAGTTTTGAGTCACTCACTTTCCAATTGTTTCGTATTTTTCAAATGATTGACAGTTGACTTGTCCAACCGAAACTACTCACCACCACTATTAAGCTGTTGAGTGGACAGTTGACGGAATGGGCACACGGGAGGGACTAAGGCTAAGGTGTAGTGACGTCATTTCTCTAGTGGCTAATGTCTTCTCTTGAGGCAACACGATTACCGTAACGAAACGATGTGATTTCAGCGGCGTTCGTGGCATAGTTGGTAGCGTTTCGGATTGATGTTCAAGAGGTCCCGGGTTCGAATCCCGCTGGCAACACAAACTTTTTGTCAACAAATTTTCATATCAGCAAGTTTGGTTGGTTAGGTTAGGTTATAACAGTTTAATTTTATAATACTAAATTTTAAAATTAATTTTATAATTAATTAAAAATTAAAGTACTGTAATCATTAATTAGATTTGTATCTTATATAGTTTTTGTTATTATCAGCAAGTCTGGTTGGTTAGGTTATGTTATGACAGTTTAATTTTAAAAATTAAAAATTAATTTAATAATTTTATAACAATATTTTATAGTTAAAAAGTTAATTTTATAACTAAAATTTAAAAAAAAAATTTAAATTTTTTCAACTTAGCAGTTCTAGCAGCGAACGCTGACACTACAAGATATGTTAGCCTTAGTCCCTCCCGTGTGCCCCACCGGACAGTTGACTGCACTTTTTTCTTCCTTTCTCGACCAAAATTGACCTTATCGAGTCGACGCCATATTGTAGTTGCTTTGTTTACCAACTGCTAATAGAGGTTAGGTATTTGTTGTTATAGTATCCAATACTTGCTATTGTTAGTTCTGACCGGTGCACTGTAGTGGTTGTGTTTTGTTCACAATTTGTTTCTTGTTGTTTCAGTCATTTATTAAAACCTTGTAAAACCAAATAAAACGATCTAAGCATAAAAATTACTCGTCCCCTAGTTATCTGAAAAGTACCCCTAGTTAGATAACCAAAAACAAAAATTAACGGTAAAATAATAGAAAAAAATTGTCGGCACTAGCGATCAGTGTTCCTCAACAAAAACTAGACTGACACGAAAAATGAGCTTCAAAATTTACAATGGGATGAGAAGTCTACTTGTATTGGTAGTAAATAGGTAGCAAATATTTTATTAAATTGTCAACAGTGTTTGGTGGACAAAGAATTTTAGTTCTCAAACGAGAGCTCGTCCCATGGTCGAAAACTCGACCAAAAAGTATGCATTTTGCAAATAAAACATGTGATTGGAATATCTTTAATTTGTTTTGATTTTCTGTTTATATTTTTGACACAAACATGGCAACCCATAAGGGCCATGTTAATTTTTTTTTAAATTTAGAATTCATTTTTGTGCTTATTTTTGAGCCTATTTAATTTATAAAGGGATTCTGCACATCTACAGGTAAGTATCTTTCGTTTGGTACCAACCACAAGTAATTCAGCCCAGTAGTATGGTCAGGCTAGCTGTCATAAGTTTTGCAAAAGTGTTTAGTATATAAGATCAGATTTTCTCTTTTTAGTGTGTTTAATGTGTCTCAAACAAGAAAAGAAACCCAATCTTAAACCAGCAAATCTCACTTAGACCCTTTGTGAATGATAAAGCTACCCTAGTGCTCTTCCCTGGTACAGTAGACCCCCTCTTAACCGACCCTAATGGGACCGGACCTAGGTCGGATAACTCAAAAGGTCGGATAAAATGGGCAATCCCTAAAATCATAACATAATGAAGTGCTATTCATTTGGAATTATATAATCATTATTTTGAAATCATAATTGCATTATTTATCAAATAAACTACTCTTATCTCCTTTTTCATATTGATAGAAAAGTCTCAAATAAACCCAAAACACGGTCAAGTCAAATAGGCCTACTTTCAGTGGAATATATTATTATACTAGGCAAGAGTCAATAAAATTCCTATTTTAATAGGTAACTTTAGTAGGCCTACTGTAATGTATTAATTGATGCTTTCCAAATAACATCGTAATACAGTACAGAACCTTTTGTCGACATTAAAGATACAAGCGACCATTTTGTTACAATACAGGACGTTTATTTATAGCCTCTCACTGGAGGCTTAAGCACAAAAACTATCTTGACCTTGGAGTTGTTAACCCCGCTTCCCTGCCTTCCCTACAAGTTGCGTTGTTTGTTTACTCCGGCGATAAGATAATCAGTTCTCAAAATCGTAATGCACTTTATGATGTTATAAATTTGCCGCACAGATAACAAATCAGATCAGATGTGCTCGAGCTACGAACGATGATGACAAACTGACAATAGGCTATGCTATATTTTTTGTGATCAACACAAAATAACTTATTGTTAGTCATATCCTGTGGAGATAAGCATATGGTTCAGTTCTCATCGCCCAGCGTGGGAGCGGAAATGCCGAGATTCCTAGAAAAAGGCGGTTAAGCCGAGCTGCTCTCAAAGCTAGGTCGGTTAAAACAAACTGTATTATTTTACGATCGAAGGCGGATAATCCGATTATCGGTTAATACGAGGTCGGTTAAGAGGGGGTCTACTGTACATTAATTTGATATAGGTACTAAATATACATATCTATTTGTAACAAGTCTAACAAAAAAATGTAAAGAACTAGTGTGCTCAACTAGAATGTGGTTTGAACCAAGAATAAATGTTGTTTATAAATGTAAATGTAAATGTTGTTAAGTGAATTTCAATGTATTAAAATAGAATTATTCCTTCCCTGAGTTCATATTCATGATAGTAGATTGTAAGTTATCTCATGTATGTGTTTTGATCAACTTCTACATACCTTGGAAGGAACAGAACAAGACAAAGACAAGATAAAATAAAGAGATTACTGTACCAAGTTCCATTTAATTTCTCTTGTTTGTTTGTACAGATCCCAAAACTACATGACTAGATCAGGCAATGCACTGGAAACTATAAATATGCACTCAAATGTTTGTGTAAATATGGTAGATCTTTATTAACATCAATATACTCATTCCAAATAACCTAACTTTACAATGAATTAACATACACATCAAATCAAAACCAAATCATCAAAAACGATTAACATTAAATAAATAAATAAACAATTTGGTTTGATGTTGCCTTTCTTGTTTAGTTGATTCCCTCAAATGGCAGTGCAAATTAACAAGACATTTATCTTACAAGGACGCCCCTTAAGGATATTTGTTCGGCTGTACAAGGAATAATTAACGCACATTGAAATGTGACTAAAAAATAAAAGGAACTTGTTTACAATAAAATCAAAGAATTTTTAATCGTTCAGCTCGATTTTGCTGCCGCATAGGACATTTTCGGTTTGGTATCAAAGGCGAGGCCTGACACCTATTGGTGAGACTAAAATATGGCTTACTGATCAAATTTGTACAGACTAAAACATCAGGATAAAACATATCGTAACCTAAATTAAATAAATTAAATATACTCCATATTAAACTAAAATATAACACGTTGGTTAAAATTGTTGTTGTATAGACAAAATATAAATATATACGCCTACGTTAATAAAATATACGATGACATAGAGTAAAAATTCTTCTCTTGTGCAAGTATAATTACAGTGCAGTATTTGATTTTTTCAAATTTAAAACTCTACGTTTATTCTTTCGATTTATATACTAAGAGTTTACTTTACAATAACTACAAAATCAGCAGATACAGTGACAGTTGAGCAATTCGGCTTCTGTTTTAAGTACACAATCTCATGTCACCGCTTATCTTCACCTTCAATACCAAATTATATTCAGACTTTGGTGATCGCAACGTAAGTATTAAGCCCATGTACACGCTTAGGTTAAAAAAATACTATTAAATACAGTTCTAACCTAAACGCTACAGCGGTTACAAAAAAGGCACCAGTTTGAGTTAGTGGCGTCGGTTGTGTTTAGAGGTCAGACTCGCCGTAGAGAGCAGTAGAGAAGGACATGTAGTCCAGGGCGCCGGGGGTAGCGTTGGGGCCCTTGTAGGGTGGCATGCGCTGGATACAGTACTCTGCCTGGTCTGGCGGCAACTCCCTGCGCAACTCATCAGGCAAGATGTATGGCTGAAACAGAAGTCACCTCAGGTGTAAAACTGATACACAATACAACAAGTTTATCCAATTGGTTATTTGAATCTCGTACAGTCACACAAACTTTGCATTAAGTGGTTCAAAAAATGCCAGGTCATCAGAAAGAAAGAGACAAACATTAAAACTGAGACAGCAGACTGATACTAAAATGTTGTCACTTGTTGGAAACACTTTATTTTTAAGCAAATCTCTTTTTGCTGATTCTTTATTTACAATTCCATAAACTAAAACCAATTAAGTTCAGGTATTGTTAACAGGACCTCGATAGTTCGACACTCCCTACTTAGCTCAACACGGGCCATGATATGTCGGCAGCGGCCAATGGCGGGTTCGCCGAGATCAAAAACTAAAAGTTTTCTTATTATTTTCTTGCACACAAAAACTCAATACCTTGAAAAGTGTTGAATGCAGATAAGTATGAGTGTGACCATATATACTATTAATAATATTTTGCAGCCTGACAGTTAACTTTGAGTGCTACTGATGTTCTCCTGGGAGTGGTAACTCACCTTGTCGGCAGCCAGAATACGGAATGAGTCGATGACCTGCTCCGCTGTGTCAGTGTCCGTCGACTCTCGGGTCATGAAGTCCAGGAAGGCGTCAAAGTGAACGTAGCCAGTGCTGTTGGGGTCCACTACTGCCAGGATGCGCTGGAAGTCGATTTCTCCCTGTGCAAAATCACAGTGTTAATACATTGCCTATAACTAGATATTCCATCCATCCATTGTTAAGTTTTAGTCAGTTTTTTTTTTTATTGGATGAAGATGACTTGAGTTACTGACACAGTGCCATGATTTGAATTGCTGATTTCTGTTAAATACGCCAAATGTTTAACTGAATCAAACCAAAATGGCAAATTATTATAAGCTACAGCAGTATGTCATATCGACGAAGACAATAACCGAGGGAGATCATATAACTTTAAGACTGTAGCACACTAGTTGAGTAGATCCTTTTTTTAAATAAAAAAAATTGTTACAGCTGGTCCATATAGATAGGATGTCTAGTTCAGTATCCGAAAGTCAATCTTGAACAAACTAACCTTGGTAAGTCTCTTGTTGGCATGCGTTCTAACAAGGTGAGAGCAAGTCTACCTACTACTTTTGCAAACACCTATCATTTTTACACCCCGAGCTCTGTTCCAGCAAAACAAGTTTATATCTCTATATTCAGTTATTTTCCTCCATCTGTAACCTGGGCTTTTTTCAGCATAACAGTTTCTCCCTGTCTTCAGCTATATTCCTGCAAGGAATGTCGTCCCTCTACATTCTGCTGTCTCTAGTTTACCTGTCTATCCTTGCCGATGCTGTAGCCGAGAGAGACCAGGCAACTCTTGAACTCGTCGGGTGCGAGACGTCCGGTGCGGTTCTTGTCGAAGTGGTTGAAACTCGCTCTGAACTCGTTGAGCTGTTCCTGTGTTATTCCCTTTGAGTCTCTGGTCAGAATCTGGTTCTCCACCTCGTTGATGTTGCGGTTGATGGACGTAAGCAGTTGTTCCCAGCCGACGCGCAACGTTTCCATTGTGTACTGTGTGTACCTGTTGACAAAACACAGGGTTAGTGAATTTATAAATATAATTACCACTTTAAGGGCTTAATATATGTTGTGCTTAGACTATTGATAGATGTAGATATCCCATTCCCAAAGCTGTAGATGTTTTAGAATAACATTTAACTTAGGCTAGTTGAATTGAGAACCGACAATAAATTTATTGAACAACAATGACCCAACTGAAAGTAAAACTTATTGTGAATGGTAGAATTTGTTAAGCCACATCAACTTCAATAGTATTAAAAAAAGTATACGAGGAAATAGAATATTTTACAGAAGAACTCTCTGAACTAGCTTCTATTTGAATAAAACATTGGGTACAGCTCCAAAAATAGGATGTCTACTTGAGTATTCAAAAATCAATAATTCTATGTCATTATTCTGTTCTAGAAAATTTTACCACTGTGGTCATTAAGCAATCAGTCAATTGACGTAAAAAAGTGATAGAAATAACCGTAAACATATTTTGTATCTTATCACAGAAAACATTCAGGTTAAATATCCAAGCGTAAAGGAAAAGGAAGTCATATTGAGAACAATGAATTGTAAATTTTTTATCAGTTATTCAGACCGCTATTAGATTGCACCATTGCAGTTGCAAACTCCACAAAATCCTTTCCCTCCATCTTGTTCTTTATAATGTATGTGTGTTGTGTTTAAGATATCTTGGAGGCATATTTGCTATAATTGTTTTGCCAAAAACCAATGCATATACTACCATTTCATTACTTCTCTGAGAATTAACACAGATTTAGAGTTAGACTGTTTTTAAATAAGCATTTTTTATGTTTCAACAATGGTATTTGTTGTTTATGTTCCTTAAGTTCAGAAATTTGAACTTATTGTTTACACATTTGTGTACACATAGTTCTCACAAAACTTGGTTACAATTGATGATAACAGAGTAAAAAAATAAAAAATATATAAAGGTATTAGACTCTGTCAACAGAGGTGGTAGGAACAAAAAAATTAAACAGATACAAAACAAGAAGTGATAGGTACAAACTGGGAACAACACGGTTATAATGACAACAAATATTGACTAAGAAGTGCCGAGTGGTTTCATGCTTGGGTAAAGTTTTATGCCTGATTGCTATGGAAAGATGATGTTTACACGAAAAATGAACAAGTTGGTTCAAGAAAGTGGTTTGATGTGATGGGTGATGATTGTTTTTAGTTTTTATACTTACTGTTCTCTCTGACTTTACATCAGCCGCAAAACAAAGTTTTGTTGAAAATGTGCTTTTTCCAACAAACTTACAATGAGGGGAACAAGCATTTTACTACTTTATTGTTTCAATCTACAGGTTTTACTATATTGGTTAAGTTAAGTGTATATAAAAGAATTTATGGCTAAAATGTAATATACAGTTTAGTAAACTATATTACATTATGGCTATAGTAATACGAGGAGGATTTTACTTTTTCCACTTTTCATGACTATTTTTAAAAATCTCTAATAATCCGACGAGTGTTAAAGAGAGATGACCATCCGAATAAAATACCAGTAGTGTGATACAAGATAGCCAATTTATTTTCTATGACCAACTCGGTATTCAAAAACATTGTTTTGTTATTATAGAATAGGTCTTGTGTATATTTCCACTCCAGGGATTAAATTATAATCTCAATTGTGAAAATCAATAATCATTTGAGTCTCAAATAAGAAAAATCATCCCCTCTTAAGAAAAACTAACTAAACGCAACAGATATCTATTAGAGAATAACACAACAAAATTACTTTAAGTTGTACCAGACATGAGCTCAATTTTGGGACTCAACTTTAGAACTACCAGCTTAAACCATGACCAATATGATATCAAAACCAATATTATTGGTAGGGGCATTGCCTCTTGGCAGGAAATACCACTGTATAGAGGTTAGAATCTGGTCTTAGGTCTGCTGAAGAACTTATGATGAGTTAACCTGTCTACAGAAGAAGCCCCCAAATAAAATGGAGAACGGCTCAAGTAGGAGTTGACGAGATTGGTAGATTCTTTTAGAACTGTACCTCAAATTGAGCATTTTGTAAATTTTACTCATCCTGATTGTGTCAATGGTACTATTTTCTGCGTACCTGTTCTCGAAGATCATGCCCTCCTGTACAGCCTGGTGGATCTTCTCCAACTCCTCGATGTGGGGTTTGTAGGCGTAAACTCCTTGTTCGTACTCTTTCAGTCTGCGCAGCTGATCCTCCAGTGAGCCCTGACACAAAACAAACTGGTTAGGAAGAATACCTATTAAGTTTTGTGCTTTGTTATTACATAAACAGCCCAATTCTTTTACTTATATTTGTGAACTTTTTGTTAGTCCGAGATTAGTTCACCTTCAAAATACTTTCCCAGGACTATATGCATGATGTTGCCAACATTGGTCAGACAATACAGGGGAAAGATATTGAGTCTTGGTAATGCAAACGGATCCAAGACAAGGAAGGGGAGATGAAGCTATTATAGAGCAAACAGGAAATGAAAGCCAGAATGCTATAATACTTTTGCTATCTAATTTCAACTACAGTAGTCAAACTAAAGAAGATGGTTAATTTTTTATTCATCTATGAAATAAATTTAAGGTTTGTCAGTTACAGACCTGCAGTCCCATTCCAATGGCCGTTACTGCATCCATCTGCCGCTCGATCCATGGTCCAACTTGGTTGGCCTTCTCCGCAAACTGGCGTCGTACCATCTCGTTGTTCTGCTGCTTCCTTAGCTCCAACTGCAGGGTGTTGTCCCTCTGAGGCACAAGCTGCCTAACCTCTGTCCACTTCTTGGTCAAGTCCTTTGGTCAATACACCGAGAAATAAATAACCAGTCACACTCAGAGTTAAAAGACTAGCCTATTCTAAACTAGTAGGTGTAAAAATAGGTGTCACCAACTCACCATTGACTTTTAGATACTGAAGCAAAAACTTTCTCCAGTGTAGTGACTAATTTCGTTGCTTTTAAGCCCCCCCCCCCCCAAATCTTATCTTTTTGGGTAAGCATTCGTGTAAGTTAACACATTGTAAATCGTTTGTAGACTTACGTTAGCAGTGAGTGTTGTGTACGGGTTCTCCAAACCTCCAGGTATCTGGTACTTCTGTACTGTCGATTCTACTTCTCGTACCAGGGACACGATAGAGTTGAACTCCTTATCTGCCTCTCCCAGGGTGGCCTGGTGAAGACAAAAACCATTAAACACCACACCATTGTCCTGGCTAAACAAACAGTATGTCTTATTCAGAGAAAAAGCTATACCATTCTACACTCATCTTACATTCACTAGGTTCAACTACGTCCAGTTGATTCCCCATCTCAATTGATAATGATAATAAAATTAATAGTAAAATGACAAAAGTATACATGAGTATACACATGATAATATACAATTGGAGAAAATGATTGTATTAAATTTTTATTTTAAGAATATGGAAAATCTGACAAAAAATTCATTTAGAGATGTGAGGAATATGGACGTTGTTAATGGACATATATGTATGGCCGAGATAGTTTGAGGTTACCTTGAACTGGCTGTGAGCGTCCATCAGTCCCTGGATCTCCTCCATGGTGTGAACAATGAACATGTCCACCAGATCCTCCCGGGTACCATCCAGCCAGTTGTTGAACGGCTGAAACACACAATACACTGTAGCGATATACGAATAAAGTACCATTGTACACATGTTGTCATCAAACAAAAATATTCTAGGCCTTAAAATTGTCTTCCTTGTAACTACGGAACTACTCAGCTTGAAAGTAAATTAGCACAATTGGCCAAAATAAAGGGGGCGAGGTCACCAGGTACCCTATTTTTGGGTTAATCAATGGTTGGAATTTAGAGGCTGTTCAAGTTTAAAGAGATATCTAAACAGTTGTTTTTAAAGTTATTTAAATTGCTGTTATCTTTTTTATGATTTAGGATTTTTTTATTTGATTTATTTCCAAGAAATACAAATTTACAAAACTCATACAATTTATCTACAAAAGCCATTTATAGCTTGTCTGGAGCGATTATTATAATTTTAGTAATTTCGCAGTGCTTTTATATCTAAAAATGCATAACTGTACTCACAACTCCATTTCTTAAAATAGGCTTAAGTTTTTTTTTAACTTTATCTCAATAATCACATTACGAGACCCGTGTCCTTATCTGCTTCATTATATTTTGTTGGCCAACCTGTGCTACCAATTCTTGTTTTTAAATTGATTTTTGGCTTCGGGGAAAAATTAATATAATTACCGCAGCTCGCTTGGCGAACTCCAGATGGAGAATATCGATCTTCTCCAGGATCTTCTCAGCTTCGTCGAGAGCCTTCCTACGGCCCTGAGTGAGGTTGCCAAGGCGGTCCCACTGGTCACAGATGCGCTGACATCGGGCGTTGACACTCACACTGTCATGGTACTCCAGAGTGCTTCACAGGGAAATTAGATTAGATTTCCACACTGACATGCTAAGGTTTAAAGGTGAACGATGAATGCAGAATGAATTACTTAACAGCTGTGTTACTATTTGGTCAGGACCATTTACATTTAAAGCTCAATTTTCAAGTAGAGCTACACAGCTGGGTCCTTTATCTAGTTGAATTACAACTCAAATACTCTCTAAACCATAAACCACTAAGTTTTAAAATAAACCAAATTGATGTATAGTTTTAAACATGTGTTCATTAATTGATTGTTTATGTTTACCAATTTTGTAAATAGAATGGATTGAGTAAAATAATGTACCTATCTTTTGAATTGAATCTAATTATTATACACTACAAAATCACCAATATTTACTTAAAGGCCTCATGAAATTATTTAATTAAATTTAATATTGGTGATGTTTTTATTTTAAATTTTATTAAGCCCAATATTACCGGTTCTTCTTGAACATTGTTTACTAGTTCTCCTAATTAAAAGTGTATGATTTTTCAAAAGATATATGGTTGTGATTATTATTGTCATCTGTCAGCTTTGGAAAAAATGCATGTTACAAGGAACAAAACAACTATTAGCTTTGTAAAAACTTTTTAATTTGAGACCTGTTAGGACCTTTAAAAATAACCTTTAAGAAATATAAAGAAAAACACTGAATTAAATTATGTTAAATTAAACTACATAGTTTAAATTTAAAATCAATATAATTTTTTTACCATCCAGTGTTTGATATACCCAGATAAAAGTTTATCTTTATAAAAACTAGAAAGTAGCTTTTTCGTTTCTAATAGCCTTACAAAAAGTTACTTACTTGACCTTTAGACAGATATTTCGACTCACTTGAGCTCCTGAGCGATGGCTGCGATCTGCTCCACGCGGTCCTGGTGAGCAGCCAGGTCGCTCTCAAACGCTTCGTGTTTCTTCTTGAGTGCCTTGAGCTCGTTCAGCTTGCACTGTCGGAAGTCCGCACTCTGCAGCATCTCCTCCTTGCCTCGCGTCCAGTCCTCGTGGATGTCTGCCTTGTGCTTGAACTTTTGGGCCAGGTGCTCTAGACGCTCTAACCTAGAGTAAACATTTGGTAAGGTCAACTCTTTATTTTTATTCTTATGGTATTCACCACAAGATCAATCAATTAATTATTCAAGATGGAGACGCCACTAAGTGTGTATTTTAACCCAAATATGAGTGATGGATTAGTGGCGCGATCTTGTAGTCTTGTTACTTGTTAGTGACTAAGGTCAACATGTTCCTTAAACACAGCTGTTAATTTATAGCCCATACAGCCAATGGCAACTAAGGGACCTACAGTTTATAGTAGAATCCGAACCAATTTTTTTCCTTGTAATAAACAAATTGGTCTAATTATCAGGATAGTAGTAGTACTCACTAGTGCGGACGTTAATCCACACCAGGGAGTATCGCATACACAGTGCATGCCTACTAATATCCAAATTCGTGACCTCCTAGTAGCTGGATTACAGGATGACGCTACCGTCCCAGTCTATGGTAAATTCATAAGTTGATGAGCGGTTCGGTTAATCATTTTGATCAAAACCCCAATTATTACCAGACCCAATAGGCAAATGAAAAAAATGTCTGCCTTGTCCACTTACGAGCTAGATTGAACAGGCTTGTACAGTAGAAGCTCTATAGCAAGTATCTCATAGAGACAATAAGACTGCTTATCAAGGTTTGCTACAACATGTGATAAGGGTAATACTAAAACAGGGGTTTTAAAAATGAAACTTCTAATCAACTGTATTGAGGTTTAAATGTAGCCTATAAGTTCAGCTTTGGTCAACATACAATTGTTCATTGGTTAGCTTATTTCTATTTTTAAACTAAAAAGTTATTTATATTCCAATTAAATTCGTACTAGAGTGTAATTCTCTTTAAAAAATTTTCTTAGTAATATGTTCCAAACCAAGTTATTACCTCATCATTTCAGACAACAGCCATTCTTCAAATGATTTCTCAGATGTTTCAAGTCCCTTCCATGCGTTGGCAATATCCTAAAATGATAAAACATAAAAACAATAAGTTTTAACTCAAGACAAAACACATATTTTTTTCAGGATAGCTTGCCTTATCTCTGTATAGTTTTACTTGATTATTTTCCAGTTTTGGCTGGGTTTGTTTAGTGATCTTGTAATGTTTAAGGTACTTTAGGGGAGGATTAGAATCCGGATATTGAAAAGTAGTGAAATCATAAATCTTTTAGTAATCGTGATGGAAAATATCCACAATAGTTGTATAACAAAAGAGAGTTCCGAGAAAACCAAGTTGATAGAGATTAAGCTAAAGAGACAGAGACCGAGAGGAGGACTTAAAAGATGATAAATAAGGTGAAAATGAGTGTGGCGAATAAAGGAGTTAAACGACAGTGGTGGAGGAAAAGGAAATTGTAGAGGGATAGAAGATGGAAAGGACTGGTCAACACCCACATCTAGTCCTGGAAGTAATCGGTACAGAAGTGAAGAGGGATTTAGAGAAGAAGAACGCAGAAGAGATCCCTAGTCAATGCTTAGGTCTGGGATGTAGTTGACGGACATCACTTACCGAGACCATCTTTCCTTCAGTAGGCATGTAAGCAGGTCGGTTGCTCAGCCTCAGCTTGGTCTGTAGTGTGTTGAAGTTTGTCTCTAGTTTGGCCTTCTGCTCCACACGAGGTGGCTTGTGCTTGCGACGGTATGTTCGGTACCTGCATAATACACAACAATGTATACCCCCAAAACACAGAACAGAATATATATTGTGAATTAATTTTGACTATTGATTATTTGAAATGAAATAAATTTCTTAGTTTATAAACAATTTTCAATACGGAATTGAAGTAATGTTATGAGCATCCCCCGCAAACACGGCAATAAAATGACATTGCAAAAATAAAATTGCCAGAGCTTGCCTTAAAAAGACGGGGGTTATGGTAGGCTTGAATGAAAATGGACACCACCATAGTGTGCTCATATCCATTAATTTTAGTTGATTGATAAACTGTTTAACCAAGCCAAATTGACAGAAAAACTTATTGTAACAGGACAACTACGTGTTCTTTGTTACATCAACTATAATGGAACCAAAAACTAATGGAGAACATTTATTTTGACCGCAACACACTCTGTGACCAAAGTATTCCATTGATACTATTGAGTCTATATAGATGGGATGTCTACTACACAAAGTCAATGTTCAATGTTACAACTAAGTTAATGATCACTCTCTTCTGACACCTCACATTCAACTACATTATAAAATGTTACCAAAAATAAATAGAGGATATCCAACTATAAGGGATAAAGGATTTACAGTACTCACTCCTCCAGTTTCTTCTGTACGCCGGCTAGAGAGTTGTCGGTTTGTCTGCTCTGAAGCCACGGCAGTGTGCGTCGGATCCATTCCAGCAACTAGAATCAACAAGTGCTACAGTCAGTTTATTTCAACCCCAAATAAACCATACCATTTCTATGGCTTTACAGTTGTATTGTTTCTTTACGAAGAAGTATATTTCTTCTTGCAAATAGAGATTAAATTAGTTTGTGACAAATGAAAAATATATTTAAATATCATTTAATAAACTTAATGTTGTCTATAAAATTTAAATAAAAATAAACAAATATCAACGCAAACAGATTCAAAGTTGGATTTTGAATCAAACCATGTGATTAGAAACAGACCAAAAGGTTAAAATTGAAATACAAATCCATCTGAGTTAAGTTTTTTTTTCCAAATGGTAACTTTATACTCAGCATCAACTAGCGTACCAGTTCGGAATTTTTTGAAACCAGTTGAATGAACACATTTTCAGTTTTGATGTGGATTCACCTCATTAAAGACCTTGAGGGCCACACAGTAGCCTTCTAAATCTTGGTCGAGGTGAGAAACTTGAATATTAATTGGTTTCCTACTATCTTCATATCATATATTTTAAAACAATGGCTTAGGATCATCTTTAGAAACTAATAGAAACCATCAATAGTTTGGTTTTAGGTCTACTTCAAAATATTATTCCAACAACTACTAATACCACTTATCCAATAATTTCTGCTAAGTAACTTACGTCGCTGGCGAGACGTTCATACTCCTCCATAAGTCTCTCATTCTCCTGGTTGACCTTGAGAACTTTGCAGATACGGTTGGCAGCCGTCTCGGCCTACAAGACAATATCAATGTTAGTTTTGTCTAATTAGATTTCAAATTAAACATACAAACCCTTGTTTTAAAGCTTTGAAATATTTTCCTGAATAACATTACAGTTACTGTTACAAACAAAATGGACTCATCATAGGTTAAAAATAAAAAGTTGAAAAATATTTATTTCAATATACACACAGTCCCAAAAGCAATTAATAGTGACAATAAGGTATAGCAAAGTGAATGCACTATTTAGAAGTTCACAAATTAAGCACTTAAACAAAAATGTTGAGATAAAAAAGTGTAAATTTTTGGGGTAGTGTATCTCTACCCCCGGATATTTACCCCCATGAAAAAACGCCTACGTCATTTTGACGTCACAAGGGGCGGGGCCTATACACGATCGAGAAACAGCCCGCGACTGGGAATCTACCCTCGGACATCTACCCCCAGACATCTACCCCCGGACATCTACCCCCGGAAATCTACCCCCGTGGTCAGCTACGCTACGTATCGGCCAAGATGCATTGTTGTAATTGATTTTATTAATTGGTTTATGTAAATAAACGGCTCTTCGGTTATTCATTAGCTTCTAATATCCAGTATAAAGCAGGCGATATGTCGTTGTCATGTTTAACATGTACATCGAATAGGTACAGTATTTTACATATTTGATTTACGTAGCTAAATAAGGTTATAACAAATAACATTTATCTTATGTTATTGGAATTAAAACAACTACAAGATTATGCAGTTAAAAAAAAACTAGGTATACTGAAATCAATATGTTTTTTTCTAAATATGCTATTATGAATATGCTTTCTTATTATTTACTTTAAAATATTTTTGATGATATCATCGTTTTGGTGACACACCTGTTGCGTTGACTGTTGTGTTGGCAACGACTTGGGGTATATTATTGCCCAAGAAGAATAAAGTATTTTTTGAGTTTTCGTTTTACAAGAAAAAAAATCATTTGCATAATAAGCTAATGAATAACCGAAGAGCCGTTGACTTACATCAACCAATTAATTAAATCAATTACAACAATGCATCTTGGCCGATTCGTAGCGTAGCTGACCATGGGGGTAGATTTCCGGGGGTAGATGTCCGGGGGTAGATGTCCGGGGGTAGATTTCCAGTCGCGGGCTGTTTCTCGACCGTGTACAGGCCCCGCCCCTCGTGACGTCAAAATGATGTAGGCGTTTTTTCATGGGGGTAAATATCCGGGGGTAGAATTCCGGCGACCCAAATTTTTTTCCCAAAATGAAAACTGGAAAAACACATACAGTATATTATTTAAATTTAAAAATAATACTCAGATAGTTTTAGGACAAATATTTGATATAAAATAAAATAATAATATTATTATTACCAAAAATAAAATAAAATAAATTTAGCATGTTTATTCAAATGTTCTGGAAGTTAAAAAAACATGCTTTAAAACATAGCCAATAGCTTTTATAAATGTGATGTGGAAAGTTCAGAGGGACCTCTTGTTGGAGATGCAAAGTTTTCAGTACGGCCGATATAAGTGATTGAGGTCAAAAATATTGAAATTCGGGGTTTATCGATTGTTATAACTCATTTAACATAGAACAGGACAGTATCGGTTAAAGTATCGAATCAAAGATAGAAAAGGTCGAAAAAAATTAGCCTCAGCTCGTTCTGAGTAAAAATACCTCCTTCCGCTCAATATTATTTCGCCATAACGACAAGAGGTCCAATTTCTAATATTCACTTTATAAACAGACTTTAGTCCAAAAAATGAATTGTCCTGCATTCTAGGTCCCGACAGTGGTACCTTTTTTAATTCTATGGAGAAATAACATAGTGCCAACAAAAGTTATTTTTTGTTTAATGTGATTTTTACGACATGGTTTAATAAAACAATTATTTTAATGAAAAGAACTGAGAGTTAAGACATAAATTGGCATTGCCTCCAAAGGGGACATAATAAGCTTTCTTTTGATACCAAAATCATTTCTTAGGTAATAGATACAAAAGAAACCGTTTTTACAAGTATTTGAAATTTTCAAATAATTTTTTCTCAAAATGACCCTTTTCCCTAACCAAGTTTAAAAGTCCGATAACTTATAAGAAAAAAAAATGTTGATGCATGGGACTTGCACTAAGTGATTTGGAATTTAATAAGGAATTCAAAAATATATACTGTATGTAACTCAAAATCAAAAATTCCTGGCAAGAGGGCAAGAGGTCCCTTTTGACTTTCCACATCACAAATTGTACTCATATCCTGGATGATTGATTGTAAAAATGGCGATTTTGCCGTAAACAAATAAATAAATTATTATTCATAGATTAATAAACTGAATTAATAATCCCACTCATATTCTGAGGTATAATATTTTATATCAAAAAATTGGAAGAAATATTTTTCTCATTTCAATGTGCAGTTACAACGGATTACCTCAGGAAATTAGGAGTTGTAAAACCTAAAGCTTATTCAGGGTTGCAGTAAAAAAACAAAAGGGAATTGTTTTTCGTAATTGTTTTACAATGTTCTATATGTTCAATGTAAATAAAATAAGCTTGGATTTTAGTTTTGACTCGAGTCAGTTAAAAAAAAAAAAAACATTATAAGATATAATGTAAGATGTAAGATGTCGCTTGTAATCCTTCTTTCTTTATTATTTCCTGCAGTATTTGAGAAACCACTCTTATCAGATATGAGCAATTCCTCAAAATCTAAGGATATTGGCCTGCTCTAATGATGTATATAGTCAAATCCTTTACCAGCCACTCTATATTTTATAACCCTTCCTTTGTTCAGTGAGGGAAAATCTACCTTTCCAATCCCCCGAACTATCTTCTCAAAAGAGGATATCCAAGGATACAATCGAATCTCTTAAAAACAAATAATAAATAATTAACGGATATTAAGGCCAATCCGTTTTTACTTTCCCTTACGTTATTAAAAATGATAAAATAAATCTGTCTGATTACAAGACCAATTTGAAAATGATTGTTACAAGAATGTACTGTACAAAATTGTGTACCTTTTGTGCACCACTGAAACAGTGGTAGTACGATGAGACGTAAGTCATAATCGCTCGTTCGTCTGGCATTGCTGTGTTTGTCATATCTACACACACACATGCGTAGTTAAAGCACACACTTGACTACAGCGTTAGTTTACGATCAGTATGCTTCTGTCTTGACAACAGCTTCAAGCGGTAAAACATTACAAAGTACACAGGTTGACAAATCACTTGTAGCAAACTTAAGCTTGAAAATGTCCAAGAACTTTGGATGGAGAGTAAAATGTTTCAGAGGAAAATTTTCTGATAATTCTGTAATGGTAAGACCTGGAAAATTATTGGGAACTCCAAAAGCTGGCAATAGGCCTGAGCGAAAATGCTGCACAAGGCTCTGCATATCAGAGGGGACCGCACTTGGTGCTAAATACAAAAAATGCAAAATCATGGAAAAAGAAAAAGTGGGGAATAATACTTTACAATGAGATTTCTGTTTAGTTAGTATTGTTGGGAAACTATTTTTTGGTAGTAAGGGCCAGTTTTTTGGTTGTACCGGCTCTGACTATCCATTAAAGGTCTTGAGAGCGTCCAAATGAAAGCATTAATTACCATGTTGGTATTGTTACTATGTTCACTTCAAAGACAAGAGGGTCCTAAGATTTTTGCAAGCTCGTTTTGTAAAATAAAATATAAAAAAATAAGAAAGTATTAAAAAAGTGTCGTAATTTATTTAATTTATATCATTGACGAATCTATTAATGAAATCCAATGAAATTGAAAAATCTAAATGAATGAAACAATGATAAATCTAGAATACAATTGACATTGGTTTATATAAATATGATTAGAGATTTTTCCTGATAAAAACAATGAATACAAATAGAATAAAAAACAATATACAGGGTGAGGCAGTGAGAGCACCCCAATTTTCTTTCGTTGTCACACTATAAGTAAAGCAACAATGAATGAACAGCTGTACTTATAATATCAATTAAACTATACCATTTTAGTAAACGTTATGCCTAAAGGCTATTAACACTGAGATTTTGATGTGGAAACCTATTAAATATAGTGATTCTTGTGCAAAAACCCAGAGATTGTTTAGACCACGTTCCATCTTTGGTCAACATGGCGCTGTTCCAGATTAGAAAACAATGGTGAACTGGGTAAAATTATTTAGAATAACAGCTTAATAATTAATTGGTGGGTGCCGCAAAACTCTTTGTACTTACACCAGCAAATGTTGAAAGAGTGTGAATCGCAGTAACTCAAAGTCCAAAAAGATTTGCCGGGAACTTTTGTTGTTGAAAGCTTTATGTTGGCCATTTTTTTTTTTTTTTTTTTTGGGTGGGGGGGTTATTCTGATAAGCTACTTGAAATGCGAGGCTTTTCAAAGTCGCCCCACAGATTTGCTTGAACCGAACCTAAGAATTGTCCAAAAACTAAAGTGATTCCTGAAGAAATGCTGGAGGAGTATTTGATGGAGTTTTCAAGAGACAAAAACGAATGTCAGGTAGGAAAAGGAAGTCACTTGTATGGATTTTGTTTTCAAGAAATGGAAAAATGACTTATCTTAAGTTAAAATGGCAAAGGATAAGCTGTGTTTTGATGTGCTATTTATATCGATAGGGTGAATATTATTGAGTTTGTACTATTTATAAATTGGGGCGCTTTCAATGCCTCACCCTGTAGATGAAATAAAATCGGTTCTCAGTGGATAGGTCGGAACAGTAAGAAGTAGCAACACTTTTAAAGCAAAGAGTAAGAGTTAAAAAAAGAGTTTCAAAGAGTTCAAAGAGTTTGAAGCATGTTGTCAGAAAATCAATTTTGTATTTGCAAAAGAATATGTTTAAACATAAAACAGTAAATTTGATATAGCAAAAACCATGCTTCATTTACATTAATATTGTTGAGTTGCATACACATTTCAAAAGCGTTTGATCAATACATCTAAATCAGTGTATTAAGAAAAATAATCAAACAAATTCATTGTATATAACCAGTGAGTTTCACAATGATTTGTGAACTTTTCATAATTAAAAATTTAATTTGTGTTTTAATCAAACTCGTCACACTAAACCCTCTTAGTCACACCATTTGTAAAAAAACACAACTGTAGCTCATGATTAGCAAAATCAAACAGTGGTAAACAAAACTCACATGAAAAAAATCAAAAACTATTTAAACACACTGGTGAACAATGAAATGGCACTGAACGAACGGATGAGGAATGTCTCTACGACACTGGAACTGGAGGCTGTGGAATGGTTAAACACACAACACTGCGTATTAGCGAGCAAGCGAGTCCGCGCGTGTCGTTACCTGCTGGGCGCCCTGGAAGGCATGGTAGTAGCAAGAGACATAAGTCATGATGGCTCTTTCATCTGGCTTGGGGGTGTTGATCAGATCTAAACATGAAAATCTTGGTTGGTACCTACTCAACTTTATCATGAATTAGTGGATTTCTGGATTGAAAACTGGTTTGGACATGTCTGATCCATCAAATGATCTGTAATTAGTAGTATCTTTGACAATGACAAGTAGTATACATCCAATTCTTAACGTTATGTTGTAGCCAGTTGAGTAATTATGAACATTGTTTAATTTGCACAATAGCAGTTAACTGCTATAGTTTTAAACTTCTATAGTTTTATCTTCAGGTGCCACAGGACCATTGAATGTCATTTTTAGCTGTAGATTTGTCAAAACCATTGAAATTGCACACTTTGATTTGACTACACAGATGAAAAACATTAAATGAATAAAAACTAGCCTTTACGAGCAGTTCAATAGGTTTTATGTTAGTTTAATTAGTTTGTTTGCTTGGCAAGTGTTTGTGTTTTTAAGTTTGGAATTTGAACGGTTTTGACGTATATAAAAGATTATATGACACATTTTTCTGTGACATTTGGTGATTATAGAAGTCTGAAACTATACTATTGTATAGCAACAAAACATAGATCATACAACAGATCAGGTAATGAAAACCATTTTCAAATCAACTACGTTTGTCAAACCAACAAATTTTAGAATATTTACCAGTTCCCTTAAATAAAAATCCGTAACTTCTCAGTGTCATTTTTCCAATAAAGATTCTGTATAAAAGACCCCTTTAGAAAAACATAAGTGCTGCACAACTGCATTGACTATTCATAATTTACCACACAGTAAAAAAACAATCATGCAAATCCTTCAAACTGAAATAAAGCCTTGACTTTATATTCTTTTAATTGATACTGTAAGTAAAACTGACTTTAACAGAAGTTTTATTTTTTTAAATTAAATTCAGAACAGTGCTGACATAAAAAAATTGTATACCAGGGCCAGTTATAGTGATGTAGGCATGGAGATTCAAAAATCAGCCAGGCAGTAACTGCCTCAAAACGTTTGATATCGTTAAATTAATTCTTCAGCAGAATGTTCAATTCAGATAAAACTTTGGAGTGACAAACGTTGAAAAAAACATCTGTTTTAGGCTACCTGTAGTTTGCAGATTTAACACCGATTTAAACAAAAACTAATTTTTAATTGAATCCCGACATTTCTAGTTACGTACCCTCAGGGTCCAACATGCGAGGGATGTCCAAGTACTTCTCAGCGACGTCGAAAGCGGTGTTGAGATTCTGGAGAGGGTTGTCCTTGGAGAGTTTGCTGTAGTCGATGAGGTCTGGTCGGTGACGGTGGATCAGGGCGCAGAAGGCCAGACCATCCTTGAAACTGAAATGGAAAAACAACAAGACTTAAAAAACCAACCCAAGTCAAACATTGTGAATTTAAACTACTGATACCCAAGATGCAAAAACAGAATAGTAAAAAAAGATAAAGCAATCTCAACTAGTTTTGACTCACGTACAAGTCATCTTCAGGTTAGTACTAAGGTATCTTCTTGCCATTACCTTCTGGTTTTTCGTCCCCTAAATGTTCACGTTTTTTATGTCCGTGTGCGTGTCCTACTTGTTGACACCCTCCGATGAAGCAAGAAAACATCTTAATTCTGGCCTGAAGATAACTCGTGAGTCGAAACTAGTTGCCATACCGCAACGTTTTAGATAGCATATATGCAGGTACTTACACCAATTTAATGAAATTATTAAATAGAAAATGTCTTTATTTAAGAGGCGAAGTTAGGACTTGTAAGTCCTCTCTACCACTTAACCTCTAAAACATAAATACAACCACCCACTTTATAAATAAAATTAAATAATCTAAAGTACTATATAATAAACATGATGAAATTAAATTTACTAATCCTAAAAAGTCCATTCACACAAGCCGCCAACAACCCGCCACACCAGCGCCAGAGACTCACTCATGCCTGCTGCTCAATATAATAGATTTTATCCCTTCCCCAAACCTCACACGGTTTTCTATGGATTTTATATGGTCAGGAAGAGAATTCCACATTTGAATTGTAGATACTAAGAAAGATTTTTTTCAAACTGTTGTCCGGTGAATTGGTGTAGATAAAAGGAGAGAGAGAGCCTCTTCTATGTGTGGCACGGGTACTGATGTCAGAAATAAAATGGAAGTTATCTGATAAATATTTTGGAATTTTACTATAGATGATGGAGTGTAGAAAACAGAGGGTGTGTAATTCCAGAAGTTCATTTAACCTCATTAATGGAAGCAGGTTGAAACAGGGAGTGACATGGTCATATCGTCTAAGGCCAAATACGAATCTGATACAGGAATTCTGCGCTCGCTGAAGTCTGCTAGAAACCTCATTAGTCATGTCATTGATCACCACATCACAGTAGTTGAAATGAGTCAAGATAAGAGTTTATACTAATATGATTTTCAAGTTCAATGGAAGGTATTCTGCGAAATGTTTGATGGTGTGAATAGCACCAAAAACCCATTTACAAGTGGAATTAGCTTGGTCAGACCAATTCAAATGTTAGTTCACTTTGTCACAGTAGGTAGGATGCTTTCCCTTAAATCTAAGTTGTGGTGCAGTGAGTAAGTTGATTTAGTCATTAGTCTGGGGTAGCCAACAATCATTGCTTAATTTTGTCAATGTTGAGTTTAAGTCCGTTGTTTTTGGCCCAGTGAGTTATTGATTCAATCTCAAAGTTCATGAGTCGCATAGCAGTATCCATCTCACCTACATTAAAGTGGGAGTAAATCTGTAAGTCGTCATCATATAGATAGTAGTGTGAGTTAGTGATATGTCCTGTGATGTCATTGATGTAAATTGAGAGCAGTAGTGGGCCAACAGATCCTTGAGGAACACCTCTAGTAATCTGCGCTCCCTAGTAGAATATTAGTAGTATTTGTAGTATCAGTTTATAGTTTTTAAATGTGATTAGGAGGCTAAAATTCAACAAAATAAATTTGTTTGGTTGTTTGAAACTGCACCCAGATGCCTTTGATCTTTGGGATTCAACGCCACAATCCCGTCCTACAGCTGTTGCACTAATTCATATGGAGCGTCTCTGTAATGTGTATGTTTACATGTTTACTATTACTGTTATTACCAATAGGCTGGCAAGTGCAACGTTGCCACATTGTTTGACATTGCCTTTGCGTCAGAGGAGACTATGTTAATGGTCTTGGGTAATGAAACAGCTGATTTTAGTCAACAAAGCTACAAAGATCATTAGCTCCATTTTACACTCACGATGCATTTATATTCATAAAGTAGGTATACGTGTGTGTGCCGCTCGCCGCTGTCTTAAACGACTGTATTGCTTTTAATGCTAGTCTGCATTAAACAAACACATCTATTTACTGACCTGAGGTGGAAGTTCTGCACGTTGACATTCTTGTAAGGAGCAGTCTTGCGCTGGCACCACAGCAGCAGCCCCTCCTTGGCTGTCATCTCCTCTACTGAGATGTCTTGGATGGCGAACCTCAGGATGATGGTCCAGATCATACCCAGGGTCATCTTCAGGTTGCCATCAACAATTTCTGTAAGTCAAGTCATCCATCAGAGTACATCACAAACTTTGTCTGTAGAGTCACTTATCCTAGATTTTTTGTTGGCACACTTATATATTTCAGTACCGTAATCAAGAGGTTACATATCAATAACATGGCCTATACAATAAAACAAAATACCCCCACTGTAACAAAGCTACTGACTAAGCAAATTTCCATTTGCTGGAAAATGTTAAAATGTAATAACCACTTTTCAGAGTACAATTGTCTTTTGGAGTTAACTAGAATGTGTCAAATTGTACAAAAGTACTAAATAGCCAAACTAGATCAATGACGAGTACATATTTAATTACTAGAGAAAATACAGTCTCCGTCCCAAAACAGGTGAATTCTATAAAAACAAATCATATAACTTACTACCAAACTGTTCATTTGCATGAAACATGATTATTGGTTAATTAAGTCCAACAAACAAGCAACTAAATAGAAGATATGATTCCAATGAGGCGTTAATAAGATATTAACAACACATGTTGAATTTGAACAAAGGGCTTGTTTCAGGCTTAGCGTTGCGAAAACATCAGCACAGCCTTGATTAACTATTGGTATGTTTTGCAATAAATGACGAAATTTATAAAACAGGCGGGGAGCAAAATGATACACACATATCATGTTAACGATGAATGTAGGTTTACTTGTTTGTATCAAATTTCATAAAAATCATCTGCAGCGTGATCATATGACAACAACAGTTTACTTACTTACTATCCATATAACTAATGTGGAAATTTTTATTATAGTGTTTTAGAATTTTCTTTTTTAACAATTAGACATACAAAAACACACTTCAATGAACTAAATTATTTGTTTTTAAGGCTCAACAATTTTTTTTTAAAGAAACTGCCCAAAATTTATAGTTTGAGGTTAAAAAATAAAATCTTGTTCCCATAGTAGGCCACTCATTTTTAGCAAATGCCACAAGAAATTGGACCCACCGAAGATTGACGATCTTGCAATAATAATTGAGAAAACTGTCCAAAAAACACATGGCCCCTTGGCCGAATCTCGGCTCTCTACCCAAGTCACGATGGCCAAGTACGAATAGTAGACATCACAACATCAAAAGGAACTTACCGCCGGCCTCTGACTAAAGTTGCTGTCCTTTCCATTGGAGGGGAAAAGATGTTATGTTTAATGTTCTTTGTATTTATTTATTGCCATATGTTTTTGTTATTAATTTCAATTATTGTGATTTTGTTTACTTTTGTCTTGACTTTATAAATTGCAAATACAGTCCTTTTTATTTGTAATAGTCTGACATTATTTTTACAACATCACAAAAAAAAAATTTAAATTCTTATTTAAAAAAGCCCCAACAGATAACCAAACCCATTTGCCTCCACTGACCTTCCGCACCGATGGATACCAGCTTGACACCCTTGCTTGCGATGAAGTCCAGTGCCTTGTTGACGTTGGCTATCTTGTGGAAGCGCATCTTGCCTCGGTCAGGCTTGGGCAGAGTTTCCCCGGAGATCACCTCCAGGAGCAACATGAGCTTCAGGCCGTTGCGGAAGTCGTCTTCGATGTTTTCGATCGATGTGCCAGCCTTGCGAAGGTGGGAGTTGCACCATGCCGTGAATGTCTGAAAACCACAGTGTAAAGTTAAAAGTCACATTCAATACGATAGTGTTATGTTATATTCTGAAGAGCACCAGAGCAAAGACAAAATGACCCACAGGCCTTAAGTGGAGAAGGTTTCGTAACAAAAACACCTGAGGTTACCTTGTAACGTTATAAAATTGAATTTTTACCATGCGTACATGAATAGTAATAACGGGTACATGTCTATCAACAGCTTGTAAGGTTTTTTGTGTACACTGTACAGTATTTCATATGGTTTTCCTTATTCAGCTAACTCTTAGTAAGTTAAGTGCGGTTCTCATCATCAAGATTACCCCATGTATTCCAGGTTCTTTTATAATTACTTTTTATTACCAATTATCTCGGGGAAAAAACTGGACGTATTTTAACCAAAATACAAAAGAGAGTATACTGTAGAATATGAGTATAGTAAGATGTCTCATGTAGATTTATTTTACCAAGATAACATGTTTAAATTGTTTACAAGTATAAACAAACTGCAAAAATTACAACAATCAATCTTCAGATTTATTTGATTTATGTCAGTTATACAATATAGCACTGACAACAGTTTCAAATTAACTCTGCTTCAATTATCAGAGTTAGTGAGGTGGAGATGCGGGAAGCTACCACTGACAGGATGTTCCGAAATTAGCGTGTTTGGAGTAGATGAGTAAATAAACAGAGTAGAGGGCACTGGTCCCATGGTGGGCATGTCCTAGCAGCACATCAAAATAATATTGGGCAAAGGGACTTGCAATGAAGTTAACTTATTCCTATGAAACTTATCCCATACATTCAAACATAGACAAATCTAGACCTTTGATTAATCTATAAAATATTTTTGCGTGTCTTCATAGTATGTTACATAAATGGTGTTCAAAACGAATTATACTTTTGGTCTATTACGGATTGATCTTTCTACATACATCCTATGAGATACAATTGTGTAGTGATTGTTCTAAAAACGTTAAGTACTCGTTAGGATAATTGACAATGTAAAAGAAGAGTTGTACAGAAGTGTTTTCAGAAAGCTCGGAAATTTTGACCCTACTTTCTCTTGGGCACTAAAAACAACAGTTTACTGATACTAAATGAGTCTAAGGATGGTTTTCACTTTGTCTAACATTGAACGGTTGCATTTTAGAGGTTCTTTCACAAGTTGGACTACTTGGCTTAAACATAAACATGTTTGGTTTGTCGATGGATGAGTTAACCATTATGTCAGACTATCATGTATCACTATCATGTGAGACTATCATGTGTGTGTTTATTATGTATCCAAGACTTCATTATACTCCCCAGGGGCTGGGATTTATCATGTAGTTTATAGATTTGTTGGTTGTTTATTAGTGTTGCATGTTGGGTATTTTACTGAGTTAAAATTTGTATAAGTGAATATATTGTTATGCATATGTCTTAATAATGTAAAGAGACAGTAAACATTATCTTTACATTAGCGATTTTGAAGTTACTAATTGTTGTTTAGTAGAGAGGTTAACATGAAATTTGTCCTAAATTTCATTCAAGGTTTGGTTTTAAAATAAATTTGTGTGAACTCAAAAGGATTTCTATGGATAAAGCAATTCATAAGATCGTATAGTTTAAAAGTTGGCTATAATGATTGTAATATTATCAACCTACATTACTAATTGCTGAATTATAAACCATTAAATTCTACAAGTACTAATTAAGGATTTACGAATATATGAAATTTCCAATGTTCAAGTGATGACATAAGATTCAATAAAAAAGAATTGCTTAGTAATTCATTGATTTTTCTCATCCTTAACAATAATTTAATGAGTCGGTGGCTCAGTCGGTAGCGTCGCGGACTTCAGGTCCAAGACAGTAACGTCGTGGGTTCGGATCCTGGTCACTGCCGAAAACATTTTATCAGTACAGTTCACATTTGTACTGTACCAGCTTACTCTTTGTTTTGCTGTATACGATCCACGCATAGGCGGTTAGTCTATGTGGACGGGCAAATGCAAGGTTAAAAGAGGTCGCTAACATCTAAATAAAAAAATGAATGAAAAAATGAATTTTGATCGCAGTTACTGTTCTGCTATGCGGATTGCGGAAGCAATTGAGAGCAATTTTCAGTCTCTAATCATCATCACTGGCTAGTCTAACCACTCAATTGACCTACTCAGGTCTCTGGAGCAATAGAAAGTGCAAAACATAATCAAAACCCGCTTCCCGCTACACTCTCAATTTCATCTTGCCAATCAGGTTTTATTGAAAGCTATTTTCGGCGGGTCTTCTTTTAAAAGGATCCAAGTTAAAAATAGTAATGCTAAATCACTGTACCACCAGCGATATATTTGGTCTATTTTGTGTTTATGTAGAAAATAAATTAAAGATGAGTGTAGAATAGTGTGTAATGATCTGTGTAGCTTGTAGCTTTACTAAAATTAATTGTATCTTAAAGAGTGATTCATGAAAATTATTGATCAAGGAAAGCTGACTTCAGTTCCGAACCATCAAAAAGCTACTGATTTCCTCAGGTTTACATTGACCATCTGACTGCAGTGCTATACTAGCAATATAACCATTCAGCTATCTAATGTTTTTTGTCCAAGGACGCTATGCAGGAGCCCAGCATTTTTTCACATTACTCCAAATTAGGGGTTGAAGCATTATCACTTTCATAAAATCCACTGATGATTTGGCAGGATTTGAACCCGGGACCCGGGACCGAAGTCCCGTGCTCTAACCACTTGACCAGCTCGCTCCTATATCTAATTTATTATACTGGCAAGATAAATCAATTACTGTTTAAAACATTCATAGAAGAGACAGGTTTAAGAGTAGTGTTGAAAAAAAAGTGCTAAATAGGTTTGTATTTTTGTAAATAGTTTAAATTCCTTTCCCTTATTTATCAGTCATGTCAGTAGAAACAAGATGACTTTCAATGTCACATATTTATTACACACTAGCTGGCTCGACAGACGTCGTCCTGTCCTAATGTGGTTTTATGTCAAATGCTCGTTCATTTTAAAGATTAGCAAGTTCGCATGGCTCAATCACGTCTTGGTTGTAGTTCGTTCGGTACGCTCACTCACCTCCAGATTGAAGTTCGTTCGCTACGCTCACTCACCTTTTGGTTGCAAATTAGCTGTTGTCATAAATTGAAAAAAAAATAATAGTGCTGCACCCTGTTGGTAAACCTATTAACTTTTTAATGCTATTGAACATCATAGAATTAAATTCTTTAGTTGAACCAGCTGTTAAGAATCTTTAATTCCATTTAAATATGAGTACTCATAAGGTTAACATGGGAAACTCCAGAGCCACTGGGGCGGAGCCCTTTTGACGGATCTGCACCAAACTTCACACAAACCATCCTTGAATAATGCTTAATGATACCTGAAAGTTTCATTACAATCTGTCAAGCGGTTTCGGAGTCCATAAAGGACAAACATACATACAAACAAACATACATTGGATTATCTATCTAATATATAAAATTCTCGTGTCACAGTGTTTGTCTGCAAACTCCTCCGGAACAACTTCACCGATCGTTATGAAATTTGGTGTGTAAATTCTGTAGGTATGCGAATCGGACGTAAACTATTTCCCGTTTCGAAATTCTTAAAAGGGCTCCGCCCCAGTGGCTCTGGAGTTTCCCATGTTATTCTTATGAGAAATGGAATTAATTAATCTTAACAGCTGTTTCAGTTAAACAAGTTGGTTCTGTTCTATGATGTTCAATAGCATTAAAGTTACAAGGATTACCAACAGGGTGCAGCACTATTATTTCTTTTACATTTATGACAACAGCTAATTTGCAACCAAAAGGTGAGTGAGCGTAGCGAACGAACTTCAACCTGGAGGCGAGTTAGCGTAGCGAACGAGCTAACCTGAAGGCAAGTGAGCGCAGCGAACGAGCTCCAACCTAAAGGTGAGTGAGCGTAGCGAACGAGCTCCAACCCAAAGGTGAGTGAGCGAAGCGAACGAACTTCAACCTGGAGGCGAGTTAGCGTAGCGAACGAGCTAACTTGAAGGCAAGTGAGCGCAGCGAACGAGCTCCAACCTAAAGGTGAGTGAGCGTAGCGAACGAGCTCCACACCAAAGGTGAGTGAGCGTAGCGAACAAACTTCAACCAGGACGTGATTGAGCGATGCGAACGAGATCATCTTGAAAATTAAACGTAACGGTACTTTCTTTCCATCGGTCTGTCTTAGGGGAAACCTATAACTTAGGCGATACGAAGTTCGCCGGGTCAGCTAGTCTATCTATACTATTATAAAAAAGAGGTGGTGTCTGTGTGTATGGGAAAAGTAAACGCGAAAACTACTGGTCGGATCGGGCTGAAATTCGGCATGATGATAGCTCATATTCCCGATTAACATATAGGCATATTTTTATCCCAACAATCCTTCCGGGCTCCGCCCCAGTGGCTCTGGAGCAAAGGTTCCCATGTTAACCTTATGAGAAATGGAATTAATGAATCTTAACAGCTGTTTCAATTAAACAAGTTGGTTCTGTTCTATGATTTTCAATAGCATTAAAGTTACAAGGATTACCAACAGGGTGCAGCACTAGCATTATTTCTTTTACATTTATGACAACAGCTATGGATTATATATATATATATAGATTGGCCATGGCAAATTCCAGAGGAACGAACACAAAGTCGCAATGCTATTTCAATTTCTGTTTCACTGTGCTATGTAAGTAGGCCAAAGGGACGTTTCAGTTCTGGAACGATTAATGGCGAGGGAGAGACAAGTGGTTTGCTCTGCCAGACCGTCGGACCGCCGCCAAACTCTAACTATTCTTAGCAGCTAGGCCTCTAATTTGAATTCAGCTGTCTTAAGTATTCAGGAGCACAACACTGTACTCTAAAGACTAGTATAAGTTTAGCTGGTCAATGTATTTCGGTAAGGCACTGTGGTATTAACAAAAATACTAAGATTTGCTCACAATAAAACTGGTTGCAGCCAACAATTTCCCTCACTGAAATAACAACTTGCAGCTTAATTTTAACCAATT